CTAAGTAGTAAGTGACTGGTAGGAAAAGTAAGTTAAGGTGAAAAGTAAGTCAGTAATAGTATGTACTGCTGGCGCTTATATAGCGCGCCTAAGCGCGGTCATGCGGAGCCGAAGCGCTACCGAGTAGGTATGTAAGGATATATATGGGTGAGAGTCCATGATAAAAATAAAGGTGGAACACTATGCTAATAAAGGAAATGGAAATATACGCACTAGGGAGCTTGGTGGACAGTGGATGGATGCATCTGGATGGCTGGCGCTATAGGGCGTGCAAGCGTGGGAATGCGTGCGCGCATATACATCGCGAAGTGTGGGAATGGTGCGCGCATGGCGCGCGTTGCGCGGGAAAGCTGCGCCTCATATAGGAATTGCTGTGGACAGTACACAGAGTGGTGCTGCGAGTTGGTGCTGTATACTCCCTTAGTGGAAACTGCCATATCACGCCATGAGAGGCATGATTCTCTACATCTCCCAGGGACTTTAAATTCTGAGTGTCCCCACTCAGCGCGCGTGTGGTGAGGATCTTGCGTGATAGTATGCAAGTGCGATGCATGTATGATGCTTGGGTTGTTGGGCGATGAATGTGCGAGTGCTGGAATTATTGTGCGATGTGCGATGCACGGGAAGGCGCAGGTGCACTTAAGGTGCGAAGGCGTGGGAAGTTGCGCACATGGCGCGCGTGAGGTGCGAGAATGTGCGCGCGCATATTCACTGAAGGCGCAGGAATGAAGCATAGCATGGTGGATTGCAAGGGTGACTCTGGTGTGAATAGTGCGCCATGGGTGTGGGGTGATGATGCAAGGGTGATATGGATGTGGCACACGAAGCATGAGCGAGACGCGCATGTACAGCGTGAAGTGCGTGAAAGCGCGCGCGCACAAGGCGCGAGAAAGCGTGTGTGTGTCGTGTGTGTTGTATTGTGCGTATGATGCGAAGTGGTGCAGTCCAAGAGCGATCCAATCCAAGTCCAAACCAAGTCCTGCTAGGCGCGCTAAATATTAGGTGGTAAGGTTTGAACAGTGTGAGTAAAACTATATGTGAAAATGCGAAGGAAAAAATGGTAAACTTTGCGGATGTCCTATCCGACTTGTCTTCTTCGTGCGGCTGTCGACATCTACACCTTCCTATGAGCGAGGCGTGGGAAGCGCGCACGCGCGCGCATGAGGCGCATGGGCGCAGGAATATTGCGCGCCTATGTGCGTGTTCTAAGGTAAAAAGGGCATGGTGCCGCGTCATGCGTGCGAAGAGAAAATATACTATTGAGCTAGGCGGGCACAATCTAAGGTTGTTTTGTTGTTTTTCTTCTATGTTCTTCTAGGTGCTTCCTATATGCATATATATCAGTGTGTTATTAGTCCTTTGGACGGTGTTATAATGAGAAAAAATGAGAATGAAAGAGCGCTGGACGAAACCCAGGGTAAAACGAATGATATCCTATGAACAGCGATGGTATATCTTTCTCTTTGGTGCGCCGCTGAAGCGCGTGATCCTCCTCCTTGAGCACGTGCGAGTGCGTGTGACTAGCGCGCTTCGCGTCTCTTGCGAGCTAACACGTTACCCAAGGTAGGGTTGGAATGTGCAAGGCTGGCGCACTTGGGGGGGCTTGTGACTGGCAGAATGAATTCCTGCACAACGCGCTGCAGGTTGAAGGCGCGCCAATGGGAGGCGCTGCAAGGGGTGTAGAGGCGCCCTACAAGCTGATAGGATGCGCGCGATGTGCGCGCCTTGGTGTGATGTCGCGCGAATTTGATTATATTGGCCGAACACGCGAGGAACGGCCATTTCTCTGCAAATGGATTAGCGAGAGACATGTATAGCGTGAACTTAGGCGCAAATGTTGCATGAATGGGCTGTAAGGGTGGTATATCAAGGCGCAGTAGGCGCATAGGTGAAGGAGAATAGTGCGCATCAAGGCGTGCAGGAATGAAATTGACATGGTAAGCAAAGCGCGAAGAATGCGAATAAATGTGGAAATTGCGAAGTTAAAGATGATGATAGGGGGGTTAGGCGCGTATGTATGTGTAAGGCGCGCGCCTAAGTCGCGCCTGGATGACTGATTGTAATATACCTTGTGTTGAATGAAAGAAATGCAATTTAAAAGGGGAGAAGTGATAGAAACGCGATAGTGCGAAGACTCTGCTTGAATAATGAATGCGCAAGGCGCGGGAATGTGCGTGCGTATTGCACGATGCGCGTAATCATGGCGCGTGAACAAGGGGTGGTGCGAAGATGAACCTAAAGTGTTTGGAAGCGTCATATAGCTCCTTAAGAGCTTTAAACATGAAAGAGACAGAAAACGCGAAATGAGACGAGGGTAAATATACAATACCTCTAGGCGCGCGCATTGTGCGTCCTCAGGTGAAATATGGTGCGCCTGAGTCGCGCCAGGGTCGCCTGAGACATGTTCTGCTTGGTGGTTGGGCAGCGTGATGCACGGATGCTTTACCGGCATGCGATAGTCACTGGAAGCAAAAAGTGCGATGTGCGCGTGATCGTGAGTGACATCTGGAATTTCCAGAGACAAACTCTGGTTGATGCAAGGTGCGACTTGAGCCTCTGATGCGATAGGAGGCTCCTCTATAGGCGCGCTAAGGCGCAATTGATGTTTAGGGTCATCCCTGACCTCTGATGATGCAAGCGGCAATAGTGATGGTGCGTTTGGCAAGACTTCTTCCTTAAGTGATGCGATAGGCGCGTGTGTTTCAAGTGATGGCGCATTGGTGTGCAATAGATGTTTAGAGTCATCCCTGACTTCTGGTGATTTGATAGCGGTAGGCGCGTGCGATTTGATAGTGATAGGCGCGTGCGATTCGAGCGATGGCGCATTAGTGTGCAATAGATGTTTAGAGTCATCCCTGACTTCTGATAATGCAAATGATGATGATGATGATGCGGATTGTGAAGGAGATGGTGCTGATGAGGATGATGGTGAAGAGGCGCCTGCAGTGCGCTTCTGGTTGCGCTTTGCAAGCGTGCGCTCGAGTTCATGATCTAAAGTGATGCATTCAGGTATAGCTTTGCATGCTGGCGCAGTTGATGGTTGAGGTGCGCGTGATGAGCGCGAAGGCGCGGGAAAGGCGCAAGAATAGGAACTGGTGGCCTTGTGTCAAGTACAACTTCTGAGGATGCGTGATAGAAGAGTTCAGCTGTCGCATTAGCACTAATGGTCGTATCCTGCGTTGCGCAACTTGCTTGATAGCAATCTTTGTACTTAGCCACTGGTGCACTAACTGGCATGCTTGGCGCTACCATGGGTGCGCTAACTGGCGCGGGAAAAGCGCGCCCAGATAGTAGGAACTGTGCAGCTGCAAAGACGTCCATGAATGGGTATGGGTCGTATGGATGGTGGTCTGGGAACTTGATCATAAGGCACAAGTGAATTTGCGCCTGAGCGTCGCTAGGGATTCCTTCCATGAATAGGTGGCCGCATTCAGCCTTTCAAATGCGGTCTTCATCCATAAGTGGCTGCATAATCTTCTTGAATGCGCGCAGGTAACTGCTTAGTTCTGTGCAAGAGGGCATTGGTTTGTTAGCGTATTCGCGCGCAATGGCGCGCAAGTCTGCGAGTGCGTAGCGCCTTTTACTGTCCCATCCAGGATACATTACCTTCACTTCTGCCATGAATGCATCATAATCATCTACTGCCGCTTCAGGCATGCCTCCCCATAGTTCTCGATCATCGTGCTCAAGGTAGCGAATAATACCTTTGATGCGGTTGAGTCCTTGGAGTCCTGCATCATCAGCGAGCTGCTCATAGGTGTCAATAAACTCGGCAAGGTTGTCTGTAGTGCCATCGAACTTGGGCGCGTTTGCTGTGCCGCGGATGGGCATTCTATAAGGCATTGCAGCGTGAAAAAGCGCAGGCGCGCGTGAGGCGTATCACAGGTGCGCGTGTGAGGCACAGAGGCGTGGGAAAGCGCGCGCACAAGGTGCGAAAATGTGTAACTAAAAATTGGTTAGCTTTTGAATATGCAAAGAGATTGACCTTTATGTGTCAAATAGCGTGAAGTGCGAAGATGCACAAAAGTAGATCTTGCTGACTGCTCCCCTCGCGGTGGGCTCCAGTTGTAGAAACAACAATACTGCTAGGAACAATGAGATGCTCCTAACTGTATCTAAAAATGACGTAGGTCGAGTGTTGCCTAGTCTGCTATGCTTGAGGTGGCAAGCGCGTTCGACCCTTAAGGGGAAGCAAGTGCAGCAAAGATCTAGAGGTACGCGCCGAAGCGAAGCGCGAGAAAGCGCAGGTGCGCGCAAGGTACGAAGGCGCGGGAACGCGCGCGCGTGCAGAAATGGTAGAGAGACTAAGCTTAAGTGATAATATAATGCAATATAAGAGAAGAGTGCGAGATGTAAAGGAATAGAGTTCTATTGCGACTTTCTAGGTAGTAAGTACTAGGTAAAGTGAGAGGTGAAAGTTCAGTAAAGTAATAGTATGTACTGCTGGCGCTTATATAGCGCGCCTAAGCGCAGTCATGCGGAGCCGAAGCGCTACCGAGTAGGTATGTAAAAATATATATATGTGAGAGTCCATGATAAAAATAAAGATGGAATAATATGCAATGAGAGAAATAGAAATATACGCACTAGAGAACATGGTGGACAGTGGATGGATGCATCTGGATGGCTGGCGCTAAAGGGCGCGCAAGCGCGGGAAAGCGCACGCGCGTATACATCGCGAAGCGCGGGAAGTTATGCGCGCATGGCGCGCGTTGCGCGGGAAAGCTGCGCCTCATATAGGAATTGCTGTGGACAGTACACAGAGTGGTGCTGCGAGTTGGTGCTGTATACTCCCTAGTGGAAACTGCCATATCACGCCATGAGAGGCATGATTCTCTACAACGGTATACCAGTTCGTATCATTGACAAAGACCCTAACCCTCGAATCGGACAGCGTGGTCCTGGAATCTGGGTGTGTCATGCCAATACTTCTCTAATTTCCTATAGTCTCATTTAATACATAATCCAGCCACGCTCCTTCAAACTCTTCAACTTCCTGAATGTCCCAGAAGTCAACTAAACCCGTCCTCACAATCCGTTCCTACAAGCACGGGACAATGGAATTTGCGACAGAATCTTTGGTGACCTGGCATGTGGAACCTACCCCTACGATACCATTCGTGCGTACTATACAGAACCATCTCTCGAGCAGTCATGCTGATGATTTGCTCCTATTGTAGCACGTTCCAAAGCTGATAGGTCAGCAACTCCTAGATGTGATTCTGCGACGTCACCTAGAGAAATTTTCGTGCTCTGTCGAGATGGGCACAGAACTGCATTCGTTCGAGCAGTCTGGTGAAGGTGTCATGACTGTTCTAGCAAAGAACGGCATATTGGAGACTTTCGATACCAAGTGGATGGTCGGCGCTGATGGTGCTAAAGGTGAGTTGCAATCAAATTCGAATGCTGGAGGATAAGTCTGAGTTATGGTTTGCAGGCGTTGTGCGCATACAGCTTGGGCTTACATTCTTGGGCGAGACTAGAGATGATATCCGAATGGTCATGGGAGATATTCATTTACATGGTGTTGGTCTTGACAGAGCGGTGCATCCAACTTCTACTTGCTCCATGAAGGAGTGCTCCTGATATGGTCTTGAAAGTATTGGCACCGGTTTGGGACCATTAAGCGAGGGTATGTTCGGTTTCTGCTCTTGCCAGCGAGGCTTGTGTGTTGACGATGTACAGCGTCACATTACGTTCAACAGATGAAATTGGCGAAGATGGCTGGCAATTTGTCATCGCTGATAATGATCTAGACCTCTCGTGTTCAACTCCCTCACAGACGAGATTGGTGTACCTGCTGTGCTTTGGAGTACGTCGTTAATTGATCAATGTGTGCTAGCAACTCAATTTTTTTTCCTGCAGTTTTCTTCGGCTATTCAATTCTTGGTACCGGTACTGTACTGAAAACCATAGTTTCATTCTGCGACAGTGACTGACAAGTTCATTTGCAGCTCGTGCTTCCCTTTTACCTGAGGTCGCTGGTCAGGACCCAGATGTGATCCTCGAAGAGGAGCTGACAGAGCAGCAGTAAGTGCAATGCGATTGATTATTCCTCTTGGACAGCCATTCAGCGCACTCCTACTGGGGCAGTATGGCGAAGAATACATGAGGATAGCATCTGATGATGATATCATTGCACAAGTCCGACGTATGATGGACACGTCAGGACCCTTCAGATATTGTAGCTGTATCATTTTTGGAAGCTCTTATTAGTCTTCTTTCCTTCATTTGTTTACGGTGTCTGTCGCGAGCTCTTCCACATGGATGAATCGACGAAAATTTTAATGCGAGACACTGATTGTGACATGTCTCAGTGTTGTGGAGAACTGGCGCGGGCAATGCTCGACTTGGAAATATCCAAGTCAATGTCCGACTTCAAATCAAACTATAGTTTTTTTTTTCATTGGTGACAACTTAGTACCTGCCTATGGGTGTTTGACTCGGAGTCCGTCTTCATCATAGTTCCATCACTGGCACGGTCACGGTTGTGGTGGAATGCGTCTATCTCGATCGCCTTGGGTTCTGTTCATTATCTTTATTCTCTCAATGGTCACGGTGTCATGCGGTGCCTCACGTTGCTCTTGGGAGAAGGACACAGACTTTCGCGGACTTAGTAGACATCGTTCTACATGCAAAAATTACCAGAAGGCCAGCGTGTTAGCCTCGCAGAAAAGGAGGGACCGGGCAAATGAGTCAATCAAAGTATTGCAAAGGCTCACTACAGCTACTACTCCCATACGTCTCGAAGCCATGATCACTCCACTGAATCCGAGTCTGGGTTCAACCCTTGAGTCGGACTCAATTCTCATAACTTGAAATCGGCTGATTATTATGATAACCCGCAGCTACGACCAATCGTATTTACAATGACGAATCGCTCGAAACCTATAGCTAGATGCGGACCCAGGACATTCTGCACATCACCCCAAGTTGAGTCCGGTATCAACTCAAAGGCTAGTGACAGCACCCCTCATACCACTGTGTCTCAACTTCTGTATTCTAGGAATTGGATATTTTCGATGTTGCAATGTCAACGGAAGATGCTTGTGATATCACTGCGGTGCCTGAGCATGGCCAGAATGATCTAGGTGTGCATTCACGCAGAATCCTGGACCTATGACATACTAACGGTTGCTTCACTCGTGGATCATCAGCGGACTCTGGTCAACATCCTTCTCAACGCACGTCTAGGCCAGCCCCGAGAAATTTTGTCGATATTCTGCCTGCCGATGAAGATATCAACCTTTCAGATTCCCCTGGGGATTATCCGTCTCGTGTGACCGAAACTCACAATTCGCCGCCCCGCAGAATTCTACGAGTCTTATTGATGCTGCGTGATTCTCTTCAAACAGCATTCAACGTTATCGGACTTTGTCGACAATATCCTGGGCGCCCCTCATTCGAACCCGATAATTACGTCCCATCTACCTTGCTAGCTGATTCCTGTCCAATGACTATTGGCACAGATATTCAAGGGCCCGATTCATCTTCTAGAGTCTCTGTACCACCTCATCCTTTTTCCAATATGACAGTCTATCGTCTGATGACATGGATGAATTCCGGCAGTCATCAAAAATACGAGGCCGAAATCACGTGTCTTGTTAAAGATGTTATTCAAGCGAGAGACTTCAACCCCAAGGACCTGGATGGATTTTCGGTAAAGAGAAGTCTGCATGCATTGGATAATAATGGAAAAAAGGGGCCTGTTATTTTTCCAGATGACTGGTTAGAGAAGGACGTCGCGCTTGACATACCTTCCAAATCAAAAGACGACCAGGCCAGATCATTAAACATTTCGGGATTTCACTACTGGCCGCTTATATCAGTGATCCGTTCCGTGTTCGCTGACATTCAAGCCAGCATGTTCCATCTTTTCCCCTTCAAGCGTCTATGGAAGGATCCGCTGGACGGTCATCAAGAACGTGTATTTGATGAGCTATATACCTCCGACTCCTGGTTAGAAGCTCAGGAAGACCTGTATAAACAGCCGAAAGAACCTGGCTGCTCACTCGAACACGTTATCGCTGGACTGATGTTTTTTTCGGACGCAACTCATTTAGCCACCTTCGGAACGGCCAAGGCTTGGCCTCTTTATCTGTATTTCGGAAATTTAACTAAGTATGCACACTCGGCACCCAAATCTGGCGCATGCCATCTTGTGGGATTTTTACCTTCTGTAGGTCATCTGCCTTCCGTACTGTATATCTCTCTCACAGTAGATTTTTTAGCTTCCGGATAATATAAAGGATGTCTTCAGCAGCTTGCCACATATATCAAAAAGCAGCATGGCAGCCCTTCATGCGCATTGTCGGCGAGATCTATTCCATGCGTGTTGGAAACATCTGTTAGATGCGGAATTCCTTCATGCATACCGTCATGGAATCGTGCTCCGGTGTCCAGATGGAATATTTAGAAGGGTATTTCCGCGCATATTTACTTACTCGGCTGATTATCCGGAAAAGTACACATTTTCGTCTCGTTTTCGTTGAAGTACTGATCAATATCTTAGGGTTCTTATAGCGACAATCAAGGATATGGGTGCTTGCCCATGTCCGTGCTGTCTCATGCCGAAAGTCTCGTTCGATTTCCTTGGTTTGTGGAAAGACATGCAAGATCACGTCACTACCCTCAGGACCTACTGTTTGGAAAGGATAATTCAGGCCCGCGGATTCATCTATGGAGGAAATACTGTGAATGGGTCTAAGGTGCAGGCGACTGTTGGAGGAGGCTCGTGGGTGCCGACTGTAGTGAGTGCCTTGCAAATCATTCCCCTTATGATCAGTACCTACTTTGAAACTAGAACACATTTGTAGAAAGGCTTGCACCACTCGGATTCGACGCTTTCCGCATGCTTGTGGTCGATTTTATGCATGAATGCGAGTTAGGTACATGGAAGGCGCTGTTTACGCACCTCATCCGTCTACTTTACGCGCTCCCCGGCGGTGATCGCCTAGTTGCAAGTCTTGACTATAGGTTTGTCACACTATTCTCTTTACTGAATTGAAAATAATTGCCTTCAACACAGATTTTGCCACATCCCGTCGTATGGTAATGGTGTCATCAGGAAATTTTCGGATAACACCTCGGAAATGAAACGCCTCGCAGCACGGGACTTTGAGGACATTCTGCAGGTACGTATTGGTGGCTCAGTCGATGTTGTGTGTTAGTGACATTCTATCTCAGTGTGCAATGCCGGTCTTCGAGGGGCTTTTTCCAGCAGAGCACGATGCTATTGTACAATTACTTTTATACAGATTTGCTCAATGGCACGCTCTCGCCAAACTAAGGATGCATTCTGACGCGACTCTGTAAGTACTCAAGAGGACATTCCAGAGGCTGTCCCGTCAGTTGCATAAGTTCCGGGATTTCACATGTGCTGCTTTCTCTACCGTGGAGCTACCGAAAGAAAGGGCTGCGCGCAAATGCAAGGCTGCGCACGAAGGCTCAAGTTCCGACAACGCGGGTGCTGGAAGTGGCGGCAGAAAGGTCAAAAAATTTAATTTGAACACTTACAAATTTCACGCCATGGGGGATTATCTGTGATCGATCCGGCTCTTTGGAACGATCGACTCCTTTACATCACAAATTGTATGTGCATCTCCGAGTCTGACACAACGTCCCATCTCATTTTAATGTCTGTCCAGGGAGAGTTAGCGCATCGAGCACTGAAAGCATTCTATCCCTTGACCAATAAATTAGATACCCCAGCTGAACTCGCTAAGCACGAGCGCCATCGACGAATCCTTCAGCGAGTGGCAGAAGCAGAATGTAGTCCATGTGCTTTGGAACAGCAACCAGTCAACTTGCCTGCAGGGATCAACATGAAGGATCATCACTATATACCGACGCTAAGCCGCAACAATCCCATAGATATATTTCATTTTCTTCGAGATCATGACAATGATCCAGCTGTAGCAGTATGTGTTACTTTCCTCACTGTTCTCCTAACTCACGATATTATACAGGTGTTCATACCGAAACTCAAAGACCACGTACTATACCGACTTCGAAACTTAGACGTCACCTATTGTGACCATACCTTCTCCGACAATGAACGTAATTCAGTTATCATCTCAGACAATAGGCTATACTCCGTCCAAACGATGCAGGTATGTCACACAGATCTCAAGTTTTGCTAGCATTGTAATACTTTAATTGATAGGTTCATTACATGACTTATGATCTTCGGCGAGAGTATGATACCGTCAATATTCGGACACACCCCGATGTTATGGTTTTATCTGGGGAAACAAGGCCCCGACATCCATACTGGTATGCCCGCGTTCTGGGCATCTACCACATGGATGTGTGGCTCAATAGCGAAGGTCCGATCAAAAGGCGTCAAATTGAGCTTCTTTATGTCAGATGGTTGGCGCCATTGACCAACCACCCGTCAGGGATGAGCTGTGCTCGACTTCCGAAGATCGCTTTCGTCGAAGAGTCTGACCGCGACACATTTGGGTTTCTTGACCCCAGTCAAGTCATCCGAAGTGCCCATTTGATTCCAGCTTTTTCTTCTAATCGCGGAACTACATCCCTTCGCTATGGAAAGTCCTTCGGACGTCAATTTGGTGAATTGGAAGACTGGGAGGGATACTATGTTGGCATGTAAGTGTAATAATTCATCTCGTTGTCCTTACTCAACTGTTGATGACCACTCAGATTCGTCGACCGAGACATGTTCATGTGATACACGCACTATGGAATTGGACATCCTACCGTCCTACGGGAGATCACAAGAGACTGTGCCGAAGTGGAGCTCGCAGATACCCTGGAATCAGAGGAGGATAATGATGATGACGACTTGGAGAGTGAAATTCAACCCGAGGGCAATGATGGAGGGGAGGAAGAAGGCTATGACAGCGAAGAAGAAGACGAAGACATGGATGCACAGGAGAATGACGGAGAGATGGAAGACAGTGAAGACGAGAACGAGAACGGGAATGAGTATGAGTATGAGTATGAGGAAGACCGTGACGGCCTATCTTTCTGACTCATTCAGCCTGTAGCTCAGCCTTACTAGCAGTACTTGAATGTCTAAGTCTATTGACCGACATTGCCCATATCGAGTCGCAACTTCGAGTCGAATGTATATCGTGGCCTGAGTGTAACTAACCAATCATCATATTGTCTCAAGTGCATCATGATGCCGCTGACTCGCTAGATCAACACTTGATAATGGAGGAAAATAACAATCAACACTGCCGGGAGTACAATACATACTGCGATGGTGACAGGTCGCAATTTTGTTAGGAATTGTAGTGCTATTCTAGATTAGTTGACAAACGCAAAAGGCTCTTCCTATGGGAAGATGTTAAATAGTAGTTTGATCCAATGTATAGACGGCGGAAAAGGAGAGTCACAAAACAGGTTGAGAGGTGTGCGCTGTCATCCCTTGTTAATCTTCACGGCCACAAGTCAGGACATTGTTACAAAATCTAGTGCTATTCTAGATTAGTTGACAAGTGCCAAAGGTACTTCCCACGAGAATGTCGTGGATGAAGTTGTAGTGTAAAGCGGAAGTAAGGCAAAATGACAATGGCCAAAATATTTGGCGTAAGTAGGCTTATCACCCTGGTCAGCTGCAATGGAGGAACATCATAACCTTGTTGTGCACTGCTCATCTTACTCTAGATCTCCGGGCTATATAGCGGCAAATCAGATTTCTTATGGTATACATGAAAATATTTAGCAGCGGCAGAGTTCTACCCCTCTACAATTCGCACGGGTACAATACCAAGGACTCATTGGTTTACTGATGGATGTACCGATGAGACAATACTCTCATCCAGTGGTGTCCAGTGTGTAGACTTTTGGTGCGAGCGGGACAAGAGAGCAACGACTAGATAGGACAAATGATCTCAGTCTTGGGGACAAGCACTCTGGTATATTAGATATGTACCTAGATAGGACAAATGCTATTGGTACTTGTGAGCTTGGTAAACGGTACGAAAACGTTAAGTAACTTACATCTCAGTCTTGGGGACAAGCACTGAGATGTTTCTGCAAACGACGCGCTATTTTATCATGCGGGAGAATCGGAAGAACGAGGAAAGAAAAACTAAATGACTTTAAGACATTGTACTCGGCCGATGTCACAAACGTCCGCATGACGGATGCGCTCGTACCTTTCACTCCGGCGTGTCCGACGACTCTACTCTCGACACAGTGTTCTTTGGTTGATGCTTTAGTATAACTACGACATCTCTTCATCAATCACTCGGATCAGAAGCGTGACACGTTTGGTCTGACCTCTTTGTACCTTTTAAGTACTGCGACGCGTACTATCAGCCTGTATTACACATGTTCATGACAAACGCGTGAGTGGAGCATGACTCGATTCCGGTCCCGGGGATAACCGTGTGCGTCTTTATAATATTAACTCACTCTGAAATTTGAATCTCCAGCCTGCCGGTATATGTAGGCTGACTTCCTGTTTGTACGGTATAACTTACTCAGACAACTGACGCGTTTCTCTGGCATCATAGTGATCACACGATGGTGCTGACGAGGTGTCAAGGTGAACAACATGTATAAAATGCTGCCAACCTTCACACAAACTGCATTTCAACAACTCCAACCCACTCAACTCTATAATCATGTCTAAGGAAATGACCTCGTTCTGGGCACCCGTGCCAAAGCCATCATCTAGGCTAGCGCGATATCGCGTATTATCCCCTCATGCGGGTGTTCATGTCTCACCCTTACAGCTCGGTGCCATGAGCATCGGAGACAAGTGGGAGAAATTTGGGATGGGTAGTATGGACAAGACATCCTCATTCAAGCTCCTCGACGCCTTCTACGATGCTGGGGGAAACTTCATCGACACTGCTAATAACTAGTGGGTATCGTGTTGCAGTCATCTTGAATTCGTCGTCGTCGCTGACACACTTCACAACCTCTCAGTCAGGATCAAAGCTCTGAAGAGATCATCGGAGAGTGGGCAGAGGAGCGGGGAATCCGTGACCAGCTCGTGATAGCTACAAAAGTAACTTTGGGATTTTATGAATATAGTTCGATGCTGATGCATATTTATCGAAGTACACGACCAATTACCAGCGCGGCAACGACGCCATTCGGCAAAAGGCATCATATACCGGCAACAACGTCAAGTCAATGCACCTCAGCGTTGAGGCCAGTTTGAAGAAGCTGAGGACTTCATATATCGACATTCTGTACGTGCACTGGTGGGACTGGGATACTTCCGTCGAAGAGGTCATGAACGGTCTGCATGTGCTGGTGCAACAAGGGAAAGTGTTGTATCTCGTGAGTGTCCCTATTTCTATGCTGACACGAACATTTGTTAACGTGTATCGCTGGCAGGGCATCTCAGATTCTCCTGCTTGGGTCGTGTCCAAAGCGAACCAGTATGCTCGGGATCGTGGAAAATCACCGTTTGTGATCTACCAAGGTGCTTGGAACGTCATGCTTCGGGACTTTGAACGAGATATCATACCAATGGCCCGCTCCGAAGGTAGATCAACCTTGTTGCTCGCTATCTGGTACCTCCACTTACGGTCACTCCTGTATAGGTCTTGCGCTCGCCCCTTGGAATGTCCTTGCCGGTGGAAAAATCCGAACCGACGAGGAAGAGGAGCGCCGCCGACAGACAGGAGAGAAAGGTCGCATGCTCACGAGTCCCAGTTGGGAACGCAACGAGACGGAGAGGGCGATGAGCTCAGCATTGGAGAAGGTCGCAAAAGAAGTCGGTGCTGAACACATCACAGCTGTGGCCATTGCATATCTTATGCAGAAGACGCCCTATGTGTTTCCGATTATTGGTGGGCGAAAAGTGGAGCAGCTGGAGGCCAACGTGGAGTCTCTGGCTATTTCGCTAACACCCGAGCACGTGAAGTATTTGGAGAGCATTATTCCTTTCGATGCCGGCTTCCCCACCTCATTTATCGTGAGTCACATCAGCGCTCTATTGTGTCAGATTACTGAGACCTGGTTTCATTCAGGGTGATGGCACGCAATACAATTTTCTATTGAGCAATGCTGCATATTTCGAGAAGCAGCCGCAGGAGAAAGCCATAGTTCCAGATGTTGATTAGTGCTTGTAATGTGAATATGTACCACGCCCCAGTATTTTAAGCTGATATGAAAAGTCACAATGCGTCCGAGCATTATCCTGAGGTCCACGACTCGATGTACAGGCTGTACAGCACTTGAGCAAATTTTGAAATGGGATACCATATGATTGGGAATGCGATGTTTAACGCTTCTAGTCCGAATTGCAGTGTCAGAAGTTCAGAACATAGGAACAGAAAATATTAAAGCTCCGTTGTTTTCTTTTGTCGTTAAGTTATTGTGGTCGACGTCGGTTAACACCTTATGTAGCGTGACATCGGTCGCCGTCACGTTCATGAAAACATTCCTTTTTAGGATCACCTCGGGATAACTGTTTTCATTTCTTCAGCCGTCTCAGTGCTTCCTCGAACTCCGAGATGTTTAGGATTTCGTTGTCCAAGGTTCCATTGTCTCGCCCTGTTCTCCCTTCTATTCAAAATGCTCAGAGAAGAACTGTTACAACAGTGAGATGTGACGTTCCCCGCAGGGCCGACATTCCAAGTCCAAGAGGTCTAATTATCAAACGCCTGTTTTTACTCGTTATACTTACCAGCTTAGGGCCAGGCAAGATATCTACGCCGCAAGACTTTCTTAAAGCCATCGGTCGTTCTTCAGAGACCAAAATATCCATAGATAGCTGGGACGCGTTCTGGCGCACCTCAGGATGGGATATGAAGAATGCCGGGCTGAGCATCCAAGACCGGAGGTCCGTAACTCTTCGCCTATATTGTTCCTTACCAGTGCATCATCATACACAAACACAGGTATATTCTTTGGTGCATGGAAAAGTTTAGGCAGAATAAGCAGATAGAAGGGTTTGCCCACGAGGAGAGACCCAAGAAGAAAATACGGGGGTACGTACAGCTTTAATTTCAACAAGACCTGTCCTTTGTCTGATAATTATTGCTATTAGTCGAGGTCCTGCTGTTCAATTCGGAAAGCGCATTCGCTCGCGGAGAGATCGGTAGTTCCGTACCGTACTCCAGCGTAATTTCGCCCCAGATCTATTCTTCATTACACGCATATTCTGAATTATTTGACCACCTTTGTTCAAATCGCGTTCAAACTGCTGTCAGCGGCTACCGATGACCCTCTCGGGTAAAGTCTTAAGGCTAGAGCTGTCCTTTGTTGGTCCAAACAATTTCCCACGAGGCATACTGGAAGTTTCGCTTTCTCGACCCCACGTTGCAGTGCACGAGTTCAGAAGTCAAGCCCGAATAGGTTTTGACGTTTTCTGATCATTGTTCACTTGCTGTGCAGGATACAGGGGTCCCGCCTGCAAGTTAACTGTACTACATCCTATTGCAAGAGATATCGACGATCAAGTACACTTGCGATCTGCGTGAGTGTGCATAGTATCTATTCAACTTCCCGAGTAAGGGCTGTACCCTTTGTTTTACTCCCAACAACGATTGTGAGGAATCCACGTGGCAACCAGGGCGTACCACTTCGAACCGTCACATTCTCACCATGGTTGAATCATCTTATCTTGATCTAGCCGAGCATCAATTTTGAGGACCCTTTTGTTCTGTTCCGAGAACCAAGGGGTGGGCACTAGGGGCCTATATTCGGGCAATCCCTGGAGCGAGGCAGCCTCGATGTGACAAACATCGAGGGTTGAACGTCGGAGTTACTTGAAAGAACAAAACGAGGTTCGGTAAGCCGAAGCTGAGACATGAAAGAAAGAAATCTATATAACGCGTTCAAGTCAACATCCAGTGCAAATCTACGTACCCCAATCCTTGCACACAACTCTACTTTGCCATGACATCCACTATCATCTATCGTCGTCAGTCTATGGCGACTCTCTACGATAAACTTCGTGCTCAAGACGGGGAGGATCATATGGCTTGGCTTGCCGAAGTTACCGCCGAGTTCGACACTGAAGAAATTTTCGTTCCTTCTGTCCCAAGTCCACCTTCGGTTATCTCATCTGGTTCATCTTCAGCATCATCTTCAAATTCACCTCAAAACTCAACAACTTCCCTGGACTCTAATGATCAACCCGGAGGCGAATCCGACTCCGACTCTGATTCGGACTCGGGGATCGAACTCATTGATAATCCAGATGGGATTCTCTTTCAGTGTTATGACCCTATTCAATACAACCCTTCAGACTTGTATGTTTTGGGTCTATGTCATGACTAGCCATTCATCTTATGCTCGTTCATAGTCTGGACCACAATCTCCATCCAATCGCGGATCTTCCTTATATCCCTCCCGTCGAACTCAACTGCAACCCTCCACTCAACTTTGAGTGCGACGCAGAGTCCCAGAACGCGCTTACCATGGAACCCACTCCCCTATCTTCCTTTATTCCTCAACCCGCATTCTCTACAGTAGACAACTCCCTGCCATTTATGACGCGCTCTACTCGTTCCTTCCTCAAGCGTAACGATTTTGTTGCACCCCACGAGTTGGAGGAGGATGCTGACGGGCAGAGTGACGCTGACGAGACGGATGATGAATATATTCCATCATCTTCACGTAATTTGAAAAAGCGTCGTCGCTCCACGCGTCATTCCAGCGTGTCTTCCCATGTCCCCACCTATACCACGACCCAATACGTATCGCCTCCCGCAAAACGACATCGCCCTTCCCCCCTTCCACGAAACGCGCAAGCTATCCCTGGCAGTACTCCTAGCTTTGCAAACAAATCTAACCCTTGGGCGTGTCCTTATTGCAAGTGGGTTCAGCGCAATCATCGTACTCCCGACCTTAAACGACATGTCCGCACGCATACGCGTTTCGAGAGACCTGCACAGTGGGTTTGCTGTGGTATACCCACTGAGTCGGCTGCAATGTACAACATTCCGCACGACGCGACTCCCTACATTCACAACGGCAAACAGATGATTGGAGGATGCGGGAAGGAGTTCAGCAGGCGGGACGCGCTCAAGCGTCATCTGGGCAATGACCACATCTCTTGCGTGGGAGATATCGACGCGTTTGCTAACGTCTACGACGATTAATCACGAACTTATGAAACGATCGACTTTGTGGTGGCTGTCAAGATAATCTGACAGGTGAGCTTGATGCCCGTTTTTTGTTGTGGAACCGTTCGCTCATGAGTCCGCACAGCATTTTCTTCTATGTATTACCAAGTACCTTATCATACCCTGGCCACAGCGCTTGTCTCTCTCATATTTGGAACTCATGTGTCACCCTTCTACCCCAGCTACAGTTGCACCATCTTTTCTGTACATTGCTTGTTGCGTTTCCTTAAATTCGTCAGAATGCTAGTACTGTATTAGTACATACTGTGTATGTACTTCCCCATAGAACGACCGATCAATCACTCTCCTATCTGGTTGTCAGACTTTTGACGTCAGGTACTAGTTATTTTCTCTTTCAATCATGAGATGCTAGCGGCAAGGTACTGGCGAACGAGCTCGAGATGTTGCAAGGGACGCAGTGGGCTGAGTATTACATAGTTGACAAGATGGTATCAACCCCGTATCTGTCTCAAACGTGGTGGTCACTAGACGTCTGAGTTAATGGAAGGGTTTGCTTCATCTCGGTTCACCGCGTAACACAATACGATTAGCATCGCCGCGCCCTGTCACAAAATGGCCGAAGCCTTCAAAGCGCAGTGAGCTGGGAACCTGGATTACACAATCATTGGACGTGCGCCGTCGGCAGTTTAGTTCAATTCTTTTGACAGTCGTTCCTGTGGTCGAGATTAATTGCATTTTTCATAGTGACATACTCCCGCGGCGGTGCCGGCCCTGAAAACCCTAATTATTGTGCCCGCTTTATTCCTAAGAACCAGGGTCAGTAGATACATCCATGTCAGAGCATGAGTGTGGTGAAAAGACACGTTAAGAAAGGACGACCGACAATTTAGGTGACACATGGTCCACATACAGAAGATCATAGATTAGTCTTGATTCTCGAGTCACGTTGCACGTCTCCGTGGAACGCCAAACTACTCTTGTTTCAAGTAGTCAACACTCATGACGGTAGAGGGACTTGCATTTCAAAGAACGTTCACACAGGGAAGAGCCGTATTTCAGAACACTCAGTACTGGACGAACTGAATATTCACTCTGAGAGAAGGATCGACGTACATCATTTGCAACACATGGAAAACTGAATTTGTTGAATCTGAGTGGAAAAAAACGATGGCATCAGTTTACAACCAACAAGCTCAGGATGTCCATACCTGTATAGGGAGGAGCTACGCGCGCTCTGGACCATTTTTCACATCCAACCTCTGCCCCTGTATCCAAATGCCACGCCTATTCCGTTCGTCTCCAATGCACCACCACTTCTCCAGTACACCCAATGTGATACCTGACTGTGGCTCAAAGAAATCGAGCGCACCTACTCCCTTGTCGCTTTCTTTGTACAGTTCAACTGCAACATCATTCATTTAGGTATTATTTCTTGTAGTTGTTATTCAACTCACTGCATTGAGCGTCAAAAGGAGCATCAGCTTGGAAGACTCCGCATGAAAGACCGAGTGCAGTGGCCCCTCCCCTCGTAGCTAAATACAACGCATCTTTCCAATCGATTGCGAGAGACCGTCCATCACCGCTCAGTTTTCTTGTACCGTCTCTGATCCTGGAAATAGCCACAGCCTGCCGCATGCTGTTCATGATATCTATGCTATATCCACCGGCGATATCTGTGCCAAGACCGACGGGTACGCCAAGGTCCAACGCTTCACGGAGCGGGAATGGCTTTTCCGAAAAATACGAGTTCGAAAGAGGACAGTGTGCCACTGCGGAACAGCTGCCAGCCATACGTGACAGCATGTCTGTATCCAAGAATGTACAGTGGGCTTGGACAGTTTTCTCCGTGAGTAAATCGAACTAGGATTTGAACGTTATCAACTCGGTATTCATTCAACACGATGATCACTCACGTTATCAAAAACATCGATATCGTCTTTGTGGCGTTCGCTCAAAACCCACTGCACTACTTCGTGGGCCTCCGCCAAGTGACTTTGGATTCGAACTCCTTTGTCACAAGCGAGTTTTCCGAGCCCTCGTAAAAGCTCATCCGAGCACGTTGGTACAAACCGTGGTGTAATCACAGGTTCAACGAGACGTCTGTGCGGTTCATAAGATGAAACCAAGTCACGACAGCCGTCGATGAATTCCTCGGCAGAGTGTATTGAAGATAGAGCGGAAGACTCCACGTAGGACGGCCGGGACGAGATATCCATTGACAGCTTCCCTACGAGCGCTCGTATACCGATGGTTTGCATGGCTTCTGCAAGGATTAGACTGTGATTCTTTCCAGTTAGCACGTCCGTTTGCGATATGGTGTTCCTGTTGAGCTTTGCGCTTACTTCGCTGTGGTGTTGATTGTCCCAAACAACAGAACCGCGCCAGTTCCGGCGTCTCTTAGGCGCTCTGCGAGACGTACATAAACTGCCTTTGCCAACTCTGGTCGGTTGTCCAAGCTTTCTTCAGACTTGAACGCATACTCATCCAGCCACTGCATCAGAGGAAGATGGAGACCAGTTCCCTGGAACAGGAACTGGGGCGCATGGAGATGCAGATCGCAGAATGTCGGAAGTAAAAAGCTTCCTGATGGTATGGTTGTGATGGGTGTGTTGATTCTTGCTAGAAATTCCTTAGATGCTTCGGAGCCAGCAGGTCCTACATAACTTATGAAACCTTGGTGATCCACAACTAAGGCACGCGCAGATGGATTAGTAGTATGTCTCGACGATCGTACGATGGAAGATGAAATCCTCACGTAAAATATGATCTTCAAGAACTTCGAGTTGCCCCAATGTAGGGCAATGAACCAGAGTACCTTTGAAAGCAGTCGCAATCGTCATGGTAGTCAACAATGATGATGTTTGTGACTATTCTGATGTACTGTTCTGAAGATCATGATAAGCCCATCCCTTGCGGGAATTAGCCACGTGCCAGTGTATAATTAAATGCTACATGAAATGGTCCACGGAGAGTTCCGTTCACGTTTCAGAGCTCCCTGCTCTACAAGCGCTGTTCCGCAACCAATCTATCGTTACATCCTCTAGATGGTCATCGAAGTCTCCGAATTTCTCGTGAAGATTATGGTCGCGAACAAGGCTAATTGCGCGCATGGGTGAATCAGCTTTGTCTAGCAAAAAAATTGATCCTGTTGTGAATGCGGGACTTGGCGCTATGCATGGCCGCCAGAATGACGTAGAAGGCTGTGGTAGATATGGCTATTACGTGTTAGACAGTTACGAGTCCATGCTAATGGCTTAAACATACGAGTAAAGCTGGATCTCCTGTTCCCAACTTGTCGCCGTCAATCTTGAAACAGGAATTAAGTGAATAGTTTCCTAGTTGTAGTGGCGTATCCATCTACTCACAACAAATGCTACTGCATCGTTAAACTGGTCACGAATTTTCTGCGCAACCCGCTCGCCGACAGGCGCAAGAGCGGTGTCATCTAGCCTCTCGCTTGCTTGATAGTACCCCACTAGAGCCATCTCTTGTGCTTCAGCATATCCTTTTGCCTAGAAGCGTTACTGTCTGTCAGTATCATGACGAACGTTGCGTTGACATAGAATGACTGTGACGTACCAAATCAAGTCCGATTTCCATCATAGGACTGAGGCTTGTCCAGTGATGGAGCAGTGGGATGACATCCTCTATCACTACCACGTCTGAGGCTCGTCTACCAAGTAGAACACCGTTCACTGGTAGGTGAGGATGTTTCGCCGCGTGAAAGAAGATCTTAAGGTACGCGTTTTCAGAAAGAGAGTAGGACACCATCGTGACGGTCGTATATTGGGTGTCTTTTGAGAGTTCTACCGAGATTTATAATTAGCATGACGTGTCACTAGGCGCAATCAGAAACTTGAGCGACGATCGTGTCTGCTACTTACTAGCTGCTTCAATAAAAGTACAGTGGAAAGGAAACGTGGGAGAAGTCGACCGTTACGCTCCCTTACAAAATCACACTCTACACCATGACGTCCAATGGCCCGGAGATATTCACCGCAACCTCAGCGTATTCTCTAGCTGGGGTGGCTGCCATGGCCTTCGTTGCCACCACTGGCGCAAAGATTTTACTGCCGAAGAACGCGCGCTGGCAGGACTCGTTTACTTTCATCTGGCTGGTTCGTCAGTCTACTTGCACATCAGGCTTTATTTTGACAACATCGGCAGGCATTTGATGCATTGATTCACCTCTCTTTTGAGGGATCATTCCTATACCTATCGACCTTTGGCAGGACCGTAAACTCCAGCGTGGGGCCATTTGCTGAAATGTGTGAGTGATCTAAGCTTCATGCTGGTCCTCAATCCTTAAACTAGATAATTGCTTATATAGGGAAGGAGTATACCCGTGCAGATGCACGATGGGGTGTTTCTGATCCCACTGTCGTCTCCCTGGAGATTTTGACGGTCTTAGGTGCGGCACCTATGTGCTGCTACATTATAAGGCAAATCGTTAAGGACGACCCTGCGCGTCACTATTGGATCATCATCCTGAGCACCGCTGAGCTGTATGGCGGGTATGTATTTCGTTGCAAGTAACCTTGAAGTTAGTGACCCTCTTTCCAGATGGATGACGTTCTGTCCGGAATGGTTGACGGGAAGCCCAAGTTTGGATACTTCTAACCCGCTCTATCTCTGGGTTTATCTTTTCGTGAGCATTCCCCGTCTCGTACTATGACTATAAGTGTCTCACCTGATTTTGATCGCGACAGTTTATGAACATCATGTGAGTCTAAGCATAGGGTTTTATCATTGTCAATTCTGATGCTTCGTCTCAGCTGGGTAGTCATTCCAGTCTGGCTGATGTGGGATTCATACGGACACATTGCTGGCTCACTGCGCCGCGCTCAGACGGTTATGAAAACAAAGAAGAACTAAATCCCCAACGCTAACATACTTGGCTGGTATCTATGTTGCCCATACCTTATATTTATGACCTTTTGTGGTCCACGTCAGATTGCTTTGCTATTGATAAAGTCAAACGATCGTGAGGATTAGTCGTGCACTGAAATGATTTGCGAACCAAGCGCAATGCTAGTAACTAGGAGTCCACATAGCGTGTACTGAAGCAACCTAATTCTATGTTTGTAGAAGGAAAAGAAATTCGTCTCTGCTTTAGCAGAATCAATCGAAAAATCAAGCGTAGGGCATCAAGTCCGTGATCAAGTAAAAGAAGTAAAGCTAAGTCCATGTCCATGATGTTATTAAGTCATCTCGAGTTCCAAGCCGAGTCCGACTGGGCTTAAGGTTAAAGGCCCGAGGCACAAGCTTATACGATGCAGAACTCTGGAGAAGCATTTCCGGAATCACCGAACACTGAAAACACGTGTTAGAAATCCATCCAGCGAAATGACAAGCGATACATACAGACAACAATAGCATTGGAGCGAACCGTGGCGTTCTCAGGAACGGTGAAGGCAACTTCACCGCTGATGATAGGGAAATCCACGGCAAGGGGATGCTCTGGATTGCATTTCAACAACGGTGTTCATGACATGATTAAGAAATGAACATACTGATGTCTAGGTTCTCGGAATCGTTTTCTAGGTATCCCAACAATAGGAGACCAGTAGAATTCATTTTCTCAGCAGGGACGTTGTCTGTCGCCCAGGTCACGGTCTGCGTGGAACCACGGGGCCAGGATGTGAGAGGGGTAGGGCTAAGGATGGTAGGGCTCCAGGCGAGCAGTTCAACGGGATGGACAGGTGCAGCGGTAGAAAATGCCAACAAAAAGGCAGAAAAAATAGAGAAAATCGTCACGATGCTGAACATTCTGAATTGAAGTCGTGAAAAAGAGTGGGATGTGGGCGGTTGGCCTGGTTTCAAGGCTTGTATTAAACGTGAGGAAACGGGAAGATTGAGGATAGTCGAAATTGAAGTCGAGTATTTATATATGCGGCGAGAGGCTTGGCTCTATTTGTTGTAGCTACCGCGTGTGGGCCCGTGATTGAAACATATATATGATCGAAGACGTAAGGAAGATCTTGTTAAGAAGCTGAATGCTAACAAGACCGCTGTAGGCAGATGGGCTTGGGCTCACAATACCTCTAAGGATGGACCGTTCATATTCAATACTTCATGAAAAAAACCTGAGCAAACCTTCCAGGAACCCGCGGTAGTGACCATGAAGAAGTCCTGAACTTCTTTCCCAACAATATGATGATTGATGGCCGTACGGAACGGTAGCGGATATTAGCGGCGAGGGCTATAGTCGTCAAGATCTTGAACAAATTTCCCGCACTACCATGATGGTAGGCACACCAAGGAAGATAATCGATCCACGTAAATCGCTGGCATACGCTGTAGCCTGTCACAGAGTCAGTGCAATGAGATCGTGGACCAGACAACCAACGTCGGACACCGGACACCGGGTTTACACTTCACCCAATAAAATGGTTATCCCGCAAGATCTTGAGACGCACCGTTCGGCTTTCCGTCATTCCATGGGTAATCTCACCCACGACCCGACTTACTGCTTCGTCGCCCTAAGCAGGAGACCGCGGACACACGAGGCACACAAGCTGACGCGCTGCTCACACAAGGTCACATGTATTTCACGTGACTTGTCACGTCCTGTCGAATATCACAGTTGCTAATGATGTTACAGCTACCTTCAAATCGATAGGCCAGAATCCATTTTTGTTCATTCACTGCTTTTGTTTAGTTGTGGAGCTGGCCAAACAACAGGGTCCTGCCTATTACGATACTTTGTCGGTGAGATACCCCAGAATGGCACTGGACTGCACAACATCTATGATATGGTATGCAGTTCGTTTGATGCTGTGTCTGACACCCCTCTGAGCTCACTGCTGGTAATACCAGTATGACTATTTATCACCAACTCATCATGGTATGTTCAACCATCACCGAAATTCCTCAAAACAGATAAGGGCAGGGCAGGTCAGGTAAGGTCACAAAAGGCATGCCAGACACATCAGCAAACAGAAGGTGGAGGAGCGGCCTATCAGACCAGAACTAGAAGCAGGATTGTTGCTCACTATGCCAATGTTGGGTAGCTGTATTGGACCTTAGCAGAACTTTTGACCTTAGGAATGCTGATTCATTCTGATCCGATGTTAAAAGCTGATAAGACATTGTCATTGCACTAATGTATTACATGGTATGAGCAGTCATATGGGTACATCTAAGCATGGTTCAGACATTGAGGACGAGAAATGCAGGTGAGGAACAGGTGACAACAGCATGTACATAACAAGACAGCGAATGAATCCGACCATGAGAGCAGTAATGAAAAAATGGTGAGTGAACTTCAGGAATCAGAACATTGGTGAGTAGCGTCAGAAAGTGGATTACAGCTGAAGACGTGCATCAGATTAAATCGTCGTTTTCAAATTAGTAAAGGATGAGACTTGCCATTACATTCATTTCCTTCCCCTCCTTTTCTTTGGTGCAGCTTGAATTGTCTTAGCCTTGGAGGCAGTGGCAGGTTTGGCACTTTTGTGTGGTGATCTCCGAACCTGATGCTCATGCTCCTCGTCAGGCTCGCCTTCAGACACCACTGGACTTTCGACCCTCCTCCTCTTTGACGTGGAGGTCTTCACCCTAGAGGCAGTGGCGCTTCTGGCAGCAGCTTTGTGATCTTTGCATGGTGATGTTGCAGGCTGAGGCTCATGTTCCTTATCAGACTTATCTTGTGTCAGCGGGCTTTCGAATGTCACTGCCTTCATTTTCTTGCGAGGAGGTGAGGATGGTTGCAGTGCTATATCTGCACCAGATCTAGTAGGAGGTGGACGTGATGGAGAAAAGTGTCTGGGAGGTGGTGTAGGTGATTGAGAAGGAGATCGACAAGCTGGAGTGGGTGATCGAGTGGGTGTTGTAGGCACAGGAAGTGATGGACATTGGGCACTGGCACTGTGTGGCTGAACAGGAGGGGGGGTAGTAATAAATGCAGGTGACCTTGAAATGTTAGCAGAACGCAGCGCAGATTGCTTTCGCATCACCGCAATATCGTCATCATCATCATCCACATCTCCAGGATCAGAAACAGTTATTGTTGACAGCGCAGCTGCACGTCCAGCTTTATCTTTGAATACTTTCCTAAATAAACGAAACAATCAGATACTGTACATTCACACACTTGATACATACAAGTTATAATGTTGCAAAATTGCTGTAGCCCATGCCTCGTCCAGAGGGTTACGAATGACATCTATGATCTGGTAGTAAAATTTCCAGTATGAGAAGATACCATCATTCTCGGACCATTTGTTGCGAGAAGATATAGAGGACCGTGCCTATGAGACATTAGTCCCTATTTGCTCATCATAACTAAGCTCACCTGTATAGCCCCATAGGCGATGTGTTCAGCTTCAAAAGACATCATCCCATGGAGCGAAGCATTGCAAGTGTTTGAGATATGAAAATCATCGCCTGCGAGTGCAGATGAAGGACCAGTCAGGATATGCTTCAACACCTTGAACAAAATATGTTAATTAGAAACACCAATGCACAATTGAAAAATGAAAACACTACATGTTCGACAATGTAACCTTCAAAAAGGCCATCCTGCATGTTCTGTTGGATGAAAGGTTCTCCAGCTACTTTACCATTGTATAGAAGAGCAGGCCAGGCATTGGAATCCATCTTAATCTTGCCAGATTCAATCTTGCTTTTAGTTCTACCAAGTCAATGTGTCATCAATTGTTTTTTTTATTTTTAAAAAAGGTGCGTACTGCGAGGGTGACTTTTGATACTCCACAAGGTGCTTGACAGGACACAGCATGCGCACAAGCTGAGGGTGGTTAAGGCCCATTTTTGTGCAAGAATCTTTGCTGTCAGGAAAGATGGCTGGCTCGAGACCATTGGAGTCATAAGAAGTGTAACGCGAGATGCTCTTCTTCAGGTGCGTGGCATCTTCAGACCGTACTTGGCCAATCATATACTGCATCTGAATAGCGATTGTTAGTAAAATGCAACCCAATATATGCATACATACATTATCAAGAATGTCTTTGAGTTCAGCTGCCCTTTTTTTACCTCCTTTGACGAGTTCAAGGAGGTAAGGTGCGCCGGCAAGAACCTTCTTATATGTATGAAGTAGTTGATCTTGCACATCATTGGATCTAGTACACAGTCAATAAATAATATACTCATCCACAAAAAAGACAACTTACATATTAGCAAGGATTGCATTGCATGTGCTGCACTCATCATCTGACGTGTCAGAGTCCTCTACATTAGTGCTGCATGCAATCTTGACCAATGGTGCAATGCAGTGTAGAAACAACAATACAGCAAGGTGTGAATGAGGCTCCTGACTGTATCTATAAATGTTGAAAGGTCGTGCGTTGCCTAGTCTGCTATACTTGTGACAACAAGTGTGTTCGACCCTAAAGGGGAAGTGAGTGCAGCAAGGATCTAGAAGTGTGCGCTGAAGCGAAGCACGAGAAAGCGCAGGTATGCGCAAGGCACCAAGGCATGGGAATGCGCGAAGCGTGGGAAAGTGCGCGCAGATATGCAGAAATGAGAGAGACTAAGCTTAAGTGATGATATGATGCAAGATAAGAGATGTGAGAGTGTGAGATGTAAACAAATAGATTTCTACTATGTTCTGCTAGGTAGATAGTGGGTGGAAGTTCAGTGGGAAGTCAAGTGCTCCAGGTGGTAAGGTAATGCTGGTGCTTATATACGGTACCTAAGCGCTGTCATGCGGAGCCGAAGCGCTACTGAGTAAGCTCTAGTATGTAAAGATATATATAAGTAAGGGTCCATGATAAAAATAAAGGTAGAATGATATGCAAATAAAGGAAATGGAAATACACGCACTAGAGAGCTTGGTGGACAGTGGATGGATGCTTCTGGATGGCTGGTGCTATAGGGCAATCAAGCGCAGGAAAGTGTGCGCGCATATACATCACAAAGCATGGGAAGTGTGCGCGCATGGCACGCGTTGCGCAGGAAAGTTGTGCCTCATATAGGGATAGCTGCGGACAGTACACAGAGTGGTGCTGCAAGTTTGTGCAATGAACTCCTTAGGGAAAAGTGCCATATCAGACCATGAGAGGCATGAGTCTCTACAGCGGAAAATATCTTTCAGTATGCAAAACATATCTATTCCTCGAGGGATCCAATGAGCAAACTGCAGACATTGCTTGCGAGGCTTTGTATCTTTCCTTGACACATGAAAACACATGTCAATGGTCAGTATGAAGCTCATCAAGTGCTGCATGTACTTACTTGTCCTTGCTGATATCTTTTGAATGGCTAAAACATGACAATGAGCAAATATATGCGCTCAAAAAATACCTCACTTACGATTTCAGTCATTTTGAAGCCCTAGTTTTGGTCTCGCCATCATTATCCAGGGACTTCCACTTACATTTTTCATTTTTCAGGGGCCAGGCACTTGGAGGATATTTCTCTACCTCTTCTTGAGAGCTTTGGGAAGATTCGTGTGATGAAACTTGAGAGAATACTGATTCTGAATCTGACAGGCTTGCAGAGGAGGAATGATGATGAGGACGTGTCATGATGGTGGTAGGGATTAGGATGGGAACAATGCGCTGATGAGTGAGACACACACCGATAAATGCTGTATATACATGTTTGGTTTCGTTCCATTTAATGTGTGATCATGGCATTAAAGCGCAACAAGAAATACATTTAATTCTACAATTACAATATGAAACATTTGATTAGCATATACAGAGTGCAAGATAACATAAGAGCAATGTGACAGCAAAAAGGGACAGCACAGAAAGATAAATATAATCTAAGTTAAGTCTGGCGCAACAGGAGCAGGCATGGCTTGCACAAAATCAAAATCGGCAACGGAATGCTTGTCTTCCACATCCACATCCCTGAAATGGTGATGGCAGCAGGGTGGCCAATCGGTGCTACTGTCAAATTTGAGTTTGCATGGTGGAGGGTTTTCACAGGCTCCGAACAAGCGCACAGGCTTTGCATTGACAGAGTTTTTTCTGTAAATCAAATTTTGTCAGTGTGATAATCAAGCAAATAGAAGAAAAACTTACTCAGAACTCTGAGACGTAATCTTGAGGCCTGCAAGATCTTCTGTGATCTTGATGGTATCAGCTGAGAACCTGGAAGGTTTAATGTTAGTGAACATGACTCACAAGACCCACTCACGTTTTGATCTTCTTGCTCTTGTGATTTGTTGGTAGGGTTCTGTACATTAAGTTAGTGATCTATATGTGAGGGAAGAACCAAAAGACTCACTTTTTCCTTTTGTGATTGCCTGGGATCAACATGTCTGCCTCGTTATCTGTAGAATCTTCGATATGGATCATTTTGACAGAGTCTTTGAGACAGATGATTGATTTCTAGATAAATGTCAGTAGGTAATATGAAAGATCGAGATTACATACCAATGGGCCTGGGTTTTTGGGCGTAAAGTTAATCTCGTACGTTGGCCAACCAGTTAGGAGGTTTTCGATCTCCATGACAATGACACTGTCACGGATGATGACCTGATCAGTACCATTGACGAGAATAGATGTAGTAGATGCCATAGTACTAGTATATGATTATAAAAAAGGTATTTGGTAAGGAATGAATATGAAAATGCAAAAGACACGTCCCATGTCCCTTTGCACTTCCAGCATTTTTCAGCTGACTTTTAAAAGTCACGTGATTTTCAACACCAAGATTTCGTTTCTGTCTCTTCAGTATTTTACTAACTGATACTATCTGATGCCCTCTGACTTCTGCGGGTGAGAGCCCTGCTATGGCTGGAGGTCTCTGTGCAAGCTCTGTGACCCCACAGAAGTCAGTATACTTATTTTGTTCTAGGACTTGCCTGAACTTCAGGCGCGCATCTTCACCCTCCGATTTTGGCATGCCAACCATCTTTTTCAACATCGCACTTGCTACCCCTGGAGCCCCCACTCTCCACTTGCATCATCCCAGCATGTTCATCTTCTTGGTCAGCACTTGACGTGCCAAAAGCCTGTGTGCATATGGACAAGGCATGTTCCTCGTGTGGTTCTTATTGCTGCTCCTCGTATAGCTCTGCTTCGAGTCCATTGAGCGGCCCCTCACTCCCTGTGCACCCATGTAAGACCATAGTCTTCGTCGACCAGTGTCTTTTTCCAGCACGACGAATGCCCGACGTCACCCAACTCCCCCTGCTGTTGAAGGCCACCCAAAGTAGAGTCCAAGCATTTTGCCAAGGTTGCCCTGCCAGAGGTAATCCCGGTTCTTCTTAACCTTTTGTCACCATTCAATGTCTTTTCATATTTCCTTTCACGTACTGTATGCACCATAATCATAACTATTTCCAAATAACCGGCATTGTGGTGTGACCTGAGACTCACCATATGGTGGATCACTGCATGCCTCACTCTGAGCCTGCAAGCACCTTAAATGATCAGCACGCTACAATACTGATAAAAAGTGAGTGGTTCCTGTTCCCTGTCGTCAGCGCACATCCACCATCTTCACATTATGGATGGTACAGTCAATTGTATTGGCTGTGGTCAGGGCTTTAAGTCACAGAGACAACTCTCTATGCATGCCTTGAAGTGTGAAAAGAACAAGGCACTGACCTTGGACATTGTTTTTTCAAAACAGGCCAAAAAATGCAAGTCTCAAGGACGAGATCTGCTCTGTGACATGAAGAAGCCCCATCAGCAGGTGGAAGAAGAAACTTTTGCTGAAGACCAGCTTGACTATGTAGATCTCAATCTCGAGGTAGGCTTTTGTTTAATTTTGTTTCTAGGACATGAACATTGCTGGACCATCTCACCTGCTATCACCACCAGCAAATCCACCCACTCCACTGCCAGCAAGATCACCCACTCTGCCCCCACAATTTCTTTCAAAGTGTTCAGGGCATTCTATTTGAATGCCCCAGCGTTTTGTTGACTACCTTCCTGGTTCCTTGATACCCCTGGCTCACATACCAGTCAAGAAACCTCTATGCTGTGCACCTCCTCAGCGGGAACCAACTCCATCAGAGTCTCCTGACGAGGACCCATTATCCATTGAGCCGCCTCCTCCTGATCCTTCTCAGACAGACCCAGATTCAATGGGTCTTTATCGAGTCTATCCAGCTCGTCCCACCTTCATACCTCCCAATGATAATTCCCTTGTTGATCTCATGGATGTGCCAACACTTGAAGGACGACCTGCAACAGGACCAGGCCCACTTGTGTCTACTACTGGACTCGCACCACCAGATGTAGATGGTGACCATCTATTTGATGTGTTCACCAATCCAACATGTGGGTTGCTGATGTCCTGGCGCTATACTGGGACAAATAATAAGTTGGATGCTGAAATCAATCGGCTAGCTGGTATTCATCAGCACCCGTGCTTCAGATCAAAGGATTTGACTGGCTTTACTTGTGCTCATGAGGCTAAACTATTAGATAAGTATCTGCAAGATCGGTCAAATCCTCTATGTGAAGAATTTGGGTGGCGCCAGTCTTCAATCAAAATTCACCTGCCAAAAGAATGGATGAAATGGCAATCAGAGGAACATGCACCAGAACTCGAAGTGCCAGGAGTTTATCACCGCTTGCTCACATCAGTCATTCGGTCAACATTCAAGGACAACATCGCAAACACATTTCACATGACTCCATATTCTCAGTATTGGAAGGTCTCTGAGACGAAAACTGTGCAAGTCTTCTCAGAATCATACTTGTTGCCAGCCATGCTCGATGCATATGCCAAGATAAATTCCCTTCCCTGTGCACCAGATGATGATCTTGAATGTGTCTTAGCACCTCTTATGATGTGGTCTGACATGACGCACCTCACAAGTTTTGGGATGCCTCACTATGGCCATTCTATTTATTCTCTGGTAACCAGTCCAAGTACGCATGAGGGAAGCCAACCTCCTTTGCAAGCCACCATGTTGCTTATATTTCAACGGTATGTTCTGTCACTATATAAATGTAACTACTGATTTGATGGTCATATATACAGCTTCCAGATAATATCCAGGAAATATATTGCGATATATTTGGTGAAGCAACAACAGATGAGGTCCACATGTTCTGTAAGCGTGAGCTTGTTCAAGTGATTTGGAAGTTATTGCTTGACAAAGATTTCATGCATGCCTATGAGCATGGAATGGTTATTCGTTGCGCCAATGGAATCACACGTTGTCTGTTCCCTCGATTTTTCTCGTATTCTGCTGATTACCCTGAAAAGTGAGCATTGAATTATTCTGTTGTTTGTTTTTGCTTGCTCAAAGTTTGTTATAGGGTCCTTCTGGCGAGCATCAAGTTCCTTGGGCAGTGTCTCTGCCCATGCTGCCTTGTCAAAAAGTGCGATGTTCTGAAGATGGGTACCAAGCTCGACATGAAGCACCAAGAAACCAAACAACATGTGGACAATGAGCACCATTGTCGAGATATCGAGAATGCCCAAAAGCTCATTTTTGAGCTTGGTGTGTCTGTTGATGGAGTTCGCGTCAAAGTGATTCTTAGTGACGAGTCTTATGTCCCTATTCAAGTAAGCTCCACCATAAACTGAGCTAAATTGGATACTTAATGCATCTGCATAGAACACTTTCTCAGATTGACTCAGAAAATTTGGATTTAACATGTTTATTCTGTTCGTTGTTGATCTGCTACACGAATTTGAACTTGGCGTGTGGAAAGCGATTTTAATCCACCTGTTGCGCATCCTCTATGCCCAAGGTGGTAATGTTATCCAAAAGTTGAATAAACAGTGAGTGATTACATCAAGGAATTTCCGTTGTTTGATGCCTTGAAGGTACCAGGCAGTTCCAACATTCGGATGTGGCACTATCCGACAGTTTCACAAAAATGCTTCAGCAATGAAGAGATTGGCAGGTCGAGACTTCGAGGATCTCCTTCAGGTAATGTCTTGGATCTATGTGGGTCATACATCTGCTAATACTCTCGAGTTTTAGTGTGCACTTCCAGTATTTGAGGATCTCCTCCCCAAGACTCATAATTCAATTGTCTTGAATTTGCTCTTCGACTTGGAAACCTGGCATGCTTTTGCTAAACTTCGCTTGCACACAGATGACACGCTCTCCCTCTTTGACAGTGCTACAGTCATTCTCAGACAGACAGTTCGGCAATTCAGCAAGACTACATGTGAGCACTATCATACTACTGAGCTTCCGCAGGAGCACACTACTCGAGGGTGTTGTGAAGCTGCTTTGAGTGCAAAGCAGGATGAGCCATTCAAGGGAAAGGAAAGGACCTCTGGCAAAAAGGTTAAAAAGTTGAATCTTCATATGTACAAATACCACACACTTGGGGACTACCCAAACACCATTCGATGCATGGGGACAACCGACAACTACACAATGCAAGTGGTGCGTACACAATTTTATTTTGAAATTGATGCTTGATGCCCTAACAGGGTGAGTTGAAGCATCAATGTTCCAAATATTGGTATCCAAGGACACCCAAGAATAGGAAAACCCTGCTGAAGAATATGGCCATTCAAGAGTCGTGGTCCTGTATTTTTATAAAGATTAATGTGCAACTAAAGAGCACCCTTGCTGCATGATTTGCACTCAAGAACACACGCCATCGCCAATGGACATCTCCCTCTGACCATTATCATGTTGCAAAGCATCCAAGGGCATCATTCGACCTAACCTCCTGGTTGACTGACATCGAAGATAATGATTCGGCCAAGAGGGTCAGTCTTTTTCCCTCAACATAATCATATGTACTAAAGTCACACATCAGAACTTTATTCCCCATCTGAAGGACCATCTACTTGCACGGCTTCGTGGCCTTGACTACTCAGGCAACGAACACACATTTTCAGATGTTGAACGAGACCTCATTATCATTGCTAACAATAAGATACATGAACACAGCATCCTTCGAGTAAACTACACGACATACGATCTCAGGAGAGAGCAAGATTGTATAAATCTGTGAACACGTGCTGATCTGATGGTACTCTCACATGAAGATGATGATGAATGTCACCCTTACTGGTACACTTGCCTTATACGCATATTCCATGTTGACGTCTGGTATTGGGGTGAAGAGAATACACCATCGACATCGAAGCACATGGACATCCTGTTTGTGCACTGGTTTGGACGAGACATGACTTTTAATGGCAGGTTCTCAAGCAAATGTTTGCATCGCCTCGGTTTCCTCCCTGACGACATTGACTCAGACTCTGGTTGCTTTGGATTCATTGATCCCAACCAAGTTATTCATGGGGTGCATCTAATCCCTGCATATGCTAATGGCCGCACAGAAAAATACCTTGGTCCATCATTTGCTTGTCATGAAGAAGAGGGGGATGAAGATTGGTTATATTTCTATGTTAATATGTATGTTTTATTTATATTTTAATGACACCTTATGCTGACCCAAACTAACAGGTTCGTAGATCGTGACATGTTCATGCGCTTCCATGGTGGTGGTGTAGGCCACAAGGTGATGCGAGAGTGGGATGAGCTCTTGCTGTCCAATGGTGCACCCAATACCATTGCAGCGCAGAGTGGAACTGATGATGATAACATTAGTTTAGATGGAGAGGATGAAGAGGACGACCTAGAAGAGGGAGAGGGACATCAAGATGAGGAAGAGAATGATTCAGATGTAGAGGCAGATGAGGATGAAGTAGACGATCCAGATGCAGTGATTGCAGACTCAGATGAGGAGCTTGACGATGATATACTTGCTCAGGAAGGATATGGCGCACTTTGACTTTGTTTATGTAGTATTACTTGGTGAATATGAGGTCAGAACATATCTGGGAGACATGCAGATGGTCTGAACTTACCTGAAGTACATCATACTGATGGCGATCTTACACGCACATGGATTGACTGTTGTGTGTCTCACAAACTTCCTATTGTGCTGACATAGTATGAACTTGATATGTCATTGCCCATACGCTCGTGGTGCGAGAAATTGTCCAAATAAGGCAGCGTCAGATTTCGAGAATTTTGGTGATGACATTGTCTCTGTTACTTCAGATCATGCCAGCATGGGCTCAACATTAGTACCTGCATCAGGAAATGTACACATTACTTAATCATGACTTAATAGTGGCTGAACACACAAAAACAACAGAATAAGCCAAAAATGATTAAGAATAGCCTTTCTTAAATAAATTAGATCTCAATTCTTACATTTTGACTTAAGAGTCTCTTGAAGCACTTGGATGTCTTTGTGCGCTGATTCTGAAAACATGATCCATCAATTTCCTACAATACAAAGTACCAATTAAGAGGGATCCAGAATGGTGTAAAGGGCAAATAAAGCAGGTCCTAAAAGGTAACAAGAAAGCAAAGCATTAAAATTGCAGTGACACCAATCAAAAAGAACAGAAATTGAACATATTTGAAGCAAGAGTAACAGCGAGATATCATGATATGAGGAAAATGAGGGAAAGCACTGGTTGCTGGTTGGCAGTTGAACAATGATGATAGTGGGTGCAACAAAGTTCTGTCAGGAACAAGTGAGGACATGTAAAGGAGTAAGCAACAGAATAAAAATTTACAGTCAGCGGAAAGCAAGGAGGTCAGCATACTGTTCATCGAACTCTTCACTCTGAACATCCTCAGGCATAGGGTTTAAAAGTCCAGTTAAGTTCGGTCTTTTGACCAATTTTCAAAAGACCGGACCCAAACCAGTCTGCACAAACTCAACCTTGTACTGCAACCCGGACTGAACTCTTAGAAACCGGTTGAACACAGTAGCAATGAGGTTCACAGTCGGTTGCTGACCAGTTGCAGATGCAACTGGTCCGTAACTATGTAGGACTGGTTAGGACTGCTCCGGAAGTCTACATAGGGCAAAATCAGTAACTACTATACAATGTGTTTGCAGGCAGGATAGCATGAGTATAGTATAGTAGTAGCATAGTTTGAAGCCTTTCCTCGAAACAAACCAACATCTGCTTGCCTTGAAACAAACCAATATCTGCTTGCCTCGAAACTGTTAAGGTTGTACTCTTGTAGGATCGGATCCAAAAGACTTCGGCCTCAGCTCGTACGCTGTGCCCCTTTCCCAAGTACTGTCCCTTATTTCAAAGTACTAATGATAACGCGTCCAAAGGTCCGGACGGGTCTCGTAGATATATCCGGATGACTTCTGGATATTGGAAACACATATAAGACTAATCCAGACGGATCCGGACTAGAAATGAACAGAGTATAGACTATCAGAATCGATCCAAAGTCTCGGAGGTTTGACAAGAGTTGAAGACTCAAGTCTGGAGGACAGAAAGAGGACAAACTAAGATGATATTCGAACTGAGGTACTACAGGACATATACACGGGCTTATATACTAAGAGGATAACGAAACAATAAGTAAAGGTCCAAAGGCTATGTATGAAGCATGTGCAAAGGTTATCAAATGCGAGTCGGAAATGAAGCATAGGTTAACGGATCAGTAATCATACTGGTAATAAGTATAGCCGAAACACCGGGAAGAGGAAATACCGAATAGGCTGTGTTTAATATTAAATGAACAGGAAATGAAATAGGAAGCTTATTGGGTATCAGATCAGAAGCGGATCTATGCATCGGACCAGACCGGATCTCAGGGTCCGAAGTCTGGAAGAGAAGCGTGAATATATGGGATATGACAGAAACAAACCTTGTAGTTTGCCATGTCAAGTCAAGGCAATGTTTGGAAGTCTTCACACAAGCAAACAATAACAGCAAAGGCCCTTGCTGGCGCTGAAACATGGCATGCAACCCAGACAGGCTCTCGTCCAAGGCCTCCCAAGTCACCAAAGAACTCTAAACGGAAAAGATGGATGGTCAGTGACGAAGACTCTGATAGCAGCAATGAGAGCCTCCATGAATGTCAGTGTACCTCAAAGAAGAAGAAAAATGCCAGCTCCAAACATAGTCAGAAAGAGAAAAGCACCACAGTGGAGATTGAAGAAGTGCGCGATATTGAAATGTCACAGACAGCGAGGTTGAGGTCATTAACCACAAGTCTGATGCTAAGAGTGGTGAGGAAACCAAGAATGATGATGGTGAAAATGCTGTAAGTGAAGCATGCTGTAAAAAGTTGCTGTCAGCTCATACTAAGTGTGATACAAAAGGAGGGGAGCGATTTGGGTGTACAGCACAAGGCCAATATTCCAGCTCCATTGGCAACAAAGAAACAGTGGGCCAATGATCTACTTACTGTGTTCACACAGAAATGCACGGTGAAGTTTGTTGGTATTGATGGTGTGGTGGATATGAAGAGAGGGCGCTAGTGCATAGTTTGCAAGTAAGTATGAGATACATTGAGACAGAAAGCTTACCATACATTCCAAGGGACAATGAAATCTTTATAAAGCAGAATGGGAAGTGTAAAGTGTTTCACCTAGGCAGTAATTCATTGTGTCATCAACATATATGTGGCCACTACGAGTTCTACCAGGCTAAATGTAAGGAGTTAGGGATCACTGAGCACCACTATGCAATTACTTGTGAGTTGTTGGATTTACAGTCCAACAGATTAAAAGGAAAGCAGATGAAGATAGATGGACTGTTCCAGAAGGCTAAGAAGAAACAAGAGTTTTCGAGAGATAGCGTGTTGCATGCAGTAGCAGAATTTATTGTTTGTGATGATCAAGTGAGATTTTTCAGCATGTTGTGATCACAACAATAACAGTTATCAGTCTCTAGTGGTGGCAAACAAGACCACATTTTGAAACTGCTTGGTTGCAATGCATCCAGCATTGACTACAGCAGAATTACCTTCAACTCACAATATCACAACATATATTCACAATGCGTTCATCAAGCTCATTGAAAGTGTCAAGGCTGATATAGAGGTAAGTTTTTTCATACATGTGAATGCATTTTCTAATGTAATCTAGTCCATAACTACTGGTCGTGTCGCCACATCTACGGATCTCTGGTCCATTGACCAAACAAAGGCATCATTCCTTGGGCTCACCGCACACTGGATTGAGGTCAAGAATAACAAATGTAATTTGCGCTCACAAGTTATAGCATTCCGCAGTGTATCTGGTGCCCATAGTGGAGTGGAACTGGGAAGATACATAGTTGGCTTGTGCGAGCGGGTGGGTATCGTGTCGGGACAATCTACAAAGGTATGTCTTATTATTTTTTGCTTGCAGTGGCTACTACTAACTTCATATACTGCACAGCAGCTATTCACTGTAACAGCCGACAATACAAGCAATAATGACACTACATGCAACAAGATAGAGCATGTTCTACATCGTCACCACATCTACTCATTCAGCTCTGATCAACACCATCTCCCCTGCCTTGCTCATGTTCTCAATCTCGCTATCATTGCTATTATGTCTGTCATCTCTCGCATCGCCGCTGTGGAAACTACTACCACAATCTGGGAATTTGATTCCTTGCTGTCCAACAATCGAGTCTTGGGAGGCTCACTAGATGTTGTGGCAGCTGTGCGCACTATTGCAATTAAGGTGCATCTCACATTTTTTCTATTGTTGTTCATAAACCTAATGATCTAATAGATACAGTGCTCAAGTCAACAAATCGAATACTTTCAGACACTTCAAGTGAAGTGCGGGTTCAAGACCCCACTCAAGATACCTCTCAATAGCAACATACACTGTGGAACAGCTGATGGTATGCTTGGACGCACATATCTCTTGTGACAGGTAAGCAAAAAAACTTGATTTCTAATGCTACATAACTAATCCATTTGCACAGCCTATAAATATGTTTATCAATTCTGCAGACGAGCTATTCGGCCCCATCACTACCATCCGGCATTCTGGACTGACAAAACACATTCCCTAAAGTCCCTTCACCTTCGGGAGCAGTGACTGGGACTGTATTGAAGATACACACATCATTATCTCTGTATGTTCATTTTTATAGTATCTATTATCTACTAGTACTAATACTTCCACAGGATGCTAATGAAATCCAGCACTATTTTTCTTCCAAAAGTTAACAAACTCTATGGCATGCAATCCTTGCTTTCGAGGAGCTGAAGATGGCGTGGGAACAGAAGTGCAACGTGCCAAAGTGTGAGCTCTACCAGGTTGCACTTCAGAAGGGACTTGATAAGGTTAATAAGTACTATCAGAAGATGGACAAGAAACATGTGTATGTGCTTGCACTTGGTGAGTACTTACCTATTGTATTTTTGTTAATCAAACTAATGGACATTTTAGTTCTTCATCCATACTACAAACTAGAATATATCAAGATGACTTGGGGAGGACATGAAGAGCAAGAACACGAGTGCACAGCCGGTAACCTTAATGCTAAGGATTGGCATGATGAGGCTTTGAAAGTTGTAGAGACCACTATGGAAGACTACTGGAAAACTTGTCCCTCTACCACACATCCATTAGTGACTGCATCGGTTGCCAGTACCTCCACAACTCCCTCTCATAATATGACCACAGTAGAATCTGCATTCGACCGCCATTGCCACTTGCTTCTTGAGCAGGCAACACTGGACCATGATGCCGGCTGGGCAGCAGAACTCCAGAGGTACCTCAAGGACATGCCCAATGTTTCGAAGAGCATAGATATCATTGACTGGTGGTCAGTAAGTGTACTCACACTTATATTTGTGTATTCGACTAATTATTTCATTTAGAAACATCATTCTATATATCCTACACTTGCAAGAATCACTATGGACATCTGCGCAATTCCCACATCATCTGTATCCTGCGAACAACTCTTTTCAGGTAGTGTGGAGACTGCCACTGACCATTGCTCTCATCTTGGTGCTGAATGCTTCGAACAATTACAGATGCTCAAATTCTCATGGTGCAAGTCTCTTGCTAACTCTGCTCAAGCAAACTCAGGTATTGTCAAGGAAGTTTTGCTAGATGAGTACAAATATTTTCTTCTTGTGGATGAGGGCATTGTGCAGTGGGAGAACGAAGCTGGTGAGGTCGAGACCATTTTGTAGTAGTCTGTACTATCTAAGTCATGTTCATTTGCATAGGTAAATATTTGTGTTTCACGCAACTGGTCCTGGTATAGACTAGTTGCAGTCGACTTTTTATTGGCCTGATGTTAGACATTGAACAATGCAACCAGCAACTGCAAGACATCAAATTAAGGGAAACCAAGACCGAAAATTTGGTCTTAAAAAGTTGCGGTACAGTTCGGTCTGTGGTCTTTGACTGGTTGTGGGACTGGACTTTTAAAGCCTACTCAGGCATGCCATCTGTCTTGATTGTCCAGTGCGCATCGTGGCCTTCATATATTGTTGAGCAAGCTCAACAATAGCTTTCATCTTTTCAGCAGGAACATGATTGATGGCAGTCAAGAACATCCGCATGTCATATCCCCAGAGCGGCTCCAAAAAGCTTTTGTTCTCACCAATGACAGCAATCCATTCAACTTCTGTGGCTGGCACCTTCCCTTTGTACGAAGGCTTCTTCTTGCCCTTAGAGGTGCTCTTGATCTCAAAAGTCATCTCTTTAGTTGCAAGGAGATTGAGGGTGCATTTAATCTGTTAAATATTAGGACAATGTGTAGATTCAAATATAACCAAATACTGCTGCTGCAGAGAGAGAAAGTGCTGTTCGAAGAACCAACTCCTCGCTGTTAAGCTCTGAAACTGGTACACATCCTTGGGTGTAGTTGAGGTGAGCTGCGAAAGTCTGCAGGACAAATGTGGACTGCCACATCCCTGACCATTCCTAAGTAAAGATAGACATTAGGAAAAATCATACTCAATAATAATGCATACCTTTTTGTCATCGAAGTTGACATCCCCAAAGAGAAATCTGTTGTCTTCAAGCCAGAAATTCGCAAAACCGATGCAGCTATCCTCAGATTCGTAGAGTGGGCTAGCTGCCATGAGGCTCATGATCATCATGACAGCAGCAGAATCAAATCCACTGCGCCATTCACTTAAGCGCCGCTTAGCCTACATCAAATAGTGTATCAGCTAGTATAGATACATTGAATTGGTGAAATGTACCACATAGTAGATAGCACCTCCTGGGATTATGGAGTAATTGACGAGTGTTGGCTTCCCAGCGTAGACAACTTTCCAAGTCTTCGTGAGAATGAAAATAAGTATGTCATCCTCAATGAGCCATGGATGGATGTTGTCCCCACCCACAGCATGAACAATGGTAGGAATAAGTGAGCCATGCCATGCATTTCCATCCTGGCAACCAGTGGGAAGATCGCTGTTCTTGTATTTCATCCTCAAGACCTCTCCATTGGCCACTTTCTTCTCCCCAGTAGTCACTTTCATTTCTGAAGCATCGAAGGTCATCTCCTGTTTGACCCGTTTTATGGGAGGGATATCTAAATCATCAAATGCATCCACATTTGTCTGCAGAACAATTGAGTATTACCACAGACTGATCTAATTTGCATACCTGTAATGTCACTCATTTACTTCCGGCAATGGGGCTTGTCTCAACACTGTCAATGAACATGGCATCTTCATAATATAATTCATCATCATCATTGAAGCATCAAGCAGCTCTCCTTTGACAGATGAAGAGAGAGACTTGTTAGCACAAAACTGATATTGTGAAGGTGGAGGTAGAGGTGGAGTCAGTGACCTGTCCTGAACCTCAATCACTTCCTATAAAGTAGTTAACAAATGAAACAGTTAATTTAAAACAATCCAAACCACTGTTCCCATCACAGTACGCAGACTCCTGGGCTGTTTCTTCAGACTCATAAGGGCATGTGCTGCCAAGCGCTCAGGGCTGTTATCTTCATCCAGCAGAGACCCTACTATCTGGGCATCATCATCACCAATGTCCGAGTTTTCAGGAGTTTTTTGGGGGGCAGTAGCACTGCTGATTGTCGTCACTTTGATAAACTGTGTGGGTACTGAGATGCCTGATACACTGGTTGGATTTTCTTGATGTGGCAATAGAGATAACATGCTGCTGGTCTTTGGATTCGTAATCCCACATGCCCACACTGAGATTGTGGTCTTATAAGCCTTCAGGTCACTATTTAAGTCATTCAGTAAATTCCAGTAGAAAAGAGTTGGTTTGGTCAGTAGCAACATGGTGGTAGAAGGTCAAGGTATGTACGTTGCCACATTCCCTTTTAGGTCTGCATCTGATGCATGTGAACTCAGTGCCACTGTGATCTCATCATTATGATCAAGATCAAGATCACCTGATGCTACAGTGGCACGAACAGCATAAACAGCATCACGGTGAGTCATCTTCTGCACTCACTTCCACTTCTTCTGTATGTTTGCCTCACCACTATCATCTACCCCATCCAGAGCTTCTTGCATTGTTCCAATGCCTCTTTTCAGTGCTGTGGCTTTAGCCTGGGAGGCTGGAAGTGCCATTTCGGCTGCAGTGGCAACCTTGCCAACTGGACGAGGTCGGGGCTTTCTTGCGGCAGTCGCATTTTTCTCCTGGACAGCTGCAACCTTCGCTATGCTCTTGTGGGTCTTCGCTTCCTGTTCTTGCTTTTCTCATTGGAGACGAGCGTGATCCTCCTGTACTTGGGCCAAGGTGTGTCTTTTTTGCTGCACATCTATGACAACTTGAGTGACTTTCTTGTTAGCATTGGACGAATGTGTAGAGACCATGATTGGCAGTAAGAATAATAGAAGGGAGCTTGTGAGCAGGAGACTGTTGGGTCAGGGTGAAGAAGGGCGAAAGAAGGTTGTTTTAAAGTGTTTTTACTATGCAAGTTGCACAGGCTATTATGTACTTTACTATTAACAACCCTTGTTTGTTTTAGTGTCAATTGGGACCTGACACACACTATGAGTACTCCTGAGGACAACTGCATTCTTTGAGCTCTTTCCCTTGTGCATTTATCCTGTGAGTATTTACATTCGTACTTCTTGCATTGTTGACTTCTCATGCGCATGTAGCTTTATTTGCATCCTCATATCCTCGAGCCTACTTGCAGCCCTTGGTTCTTTCCTCTTTGGTTCACACTCTCTGCCACTTGGTTTTTTGCCATTCCCTGTTTTACTGCACCAATGAGATGCTGGGAGCACAGGCTTTTCAACATCAACCTAATACCATGTCCTCATGCTGGCTGCAACCACTATTTCAGGAATTGGTCCAGTCTCACACAACACCATCATGCACTTCATGGTTTTTCATTTCAACTGCCTGCTATGCCACCTGCCCATGAATGCTCTGCAAACCAGGCTTCACTCACACCTGATGGCGATCTGAATCCAAATGACAGGGAGCAGCCATTTGAGAATAACAACGACAACCACCATGGAGAAAGAGATGATTATAAGATGGACTATGGGACTGATGGTAATATCGCCCCCGATATCAGCAGGGATGCCAATGAAATGTATTGTGACTATCATTTCAAACTTGACAGTATGTGGTTTTATTATTGACACAATACACATTCATAACATTATCTTTTGTGCAGGTCGTATATGTGATGCAGCGGGGAATTTTCTTCCTCCAGACACGGAACCTCCTTCCTTGACCTCAAGACAACCCAATGATTAGACTCCCTACCATAATCGAATGGAGTTTGAAACCACCGAATTCCTGTACAGAAAGGTTCAGATATCTGCTGGTGATATCGACAAATTGATGCACCTCTGGGGCCTTGGTCTCACTTGTCATGGAGATGCCCCTCCATTTGCGGATCATTGGGACCTGTATTCAACTATCAACGAAACACCAATTGGAGACATCCCTTGGCAGAGCTTTTCAATGAAGTATAGTTCTGATGATGATCTAAATAGCAGTCTCACACCGTGGATGGACGCAATGTACACTACGTGGTTCTGCGACCCACGTACTATCATCCATAATATGCTAGGTAACCCCGATTTTAAAAATGGGATAGATTATGCACCATACCGGGAGTGGAAGGGAACAGGGGACAGCGCAACTCGCCAATGGCGCAATGTGATGTCGGGTGATTGGGCCTGGGACCAAGCAGTAAGTTCAAGGCTACAAACACTGTTTTTTGCTGATATTTTCCCAGGACAATATTGCTAAAGATCCAGCTACGCATGGCTTGATGTTTGTCCCAGTTATACTCAGAAGCGATAAAACTACAGTCTCAGTGGCGACAGGTCAAAATGACTACTACCTGCTGTATGCCTCAATTGGCAATGTCCATAATAATGTCCGCTGTGCACACGGTAACACTGTAGCTGTTATTGGCTTTTTGGCTATTCAAAAAAGTGCATTTTTGTCTTGTCTGTGTTTTTGATACTAATGAAGTCTTGTAGTGACTAAAAAACATTCAGATGACCTGCATTTCTGAAATTTCAAGAAACAACTATTTCATTCTTCGCTCTCAAGGATTCTGTCATCACTCAAGCCCGCCATGTCCATCCCTAAAGTTGTCCAATTCAGCGATGGACATTTTAGACATGTGTTGTATGGTCTCGGTCCTTATATTGCCGATTATCCTGAGCAACTCATCCTTGGTTGTGTCATTCAAAATTGGTGCGCAAAATGAGTATTCTATTTGTTTCTTTTGCACACACCATACTAATAGTAATACATCAGATGTTTTGCTTATCCTGATAATTTGGACTCTGGCAAAGGTGGCCTTTGTTCATGGGAAGTTGTAGATACCCTTTGTAAAGAGGTTGATTCTGGAGTGCTTTGGGATGAATGGGGGGTCATCGGCAAGCTAGTAGTAAGTATTTTCTATCATTCTATGGTCTTACTCTTGATGTTTTTCAGCCATTCACAGATGATTTCCCTCATGCCAATATTCACCAACTTCTCGCATCAGATATCCTGCATCAAGTCATCGAGGGAGCCTTCAAAGACCACCTGGTGGCATGGGTCGAGCAGTACCTCGAGAAAGAGCATGGAAAGGCACATGCGAAGGAGATCTTGGATGATATCGACCATTGGTGAGTTTTAGTTTTTTTGATTGGCTCATTCTAACTAATTTCTCATTTCTCATTAAGAATAGCTACAGCTCTGCCTTTCGCAGGACTTTGCCGATTTCCACAAGGATGTGGATTCTCGCAATGGACAGGTGATGACTCAAAGGCGCTCATGAAAGTTTATCTCCCTGCCATTGAGGGGCACATTCCTCAAGATATAATTCGATGTTTTGGGGCCTTCCTCAAATTCTGTTACATTGTGCAGCAAGATATTATCGCAGAGGACACTCTTCTGCAACTTTCCAACTGTCTTGAACACTTTCATTGATACTGGCAAATCTTTCAAGACACAGGTATTCGATTTGATGTCTTTTCATTGCCGCATCAGCACACACTATGTCATTACTCAATGCTTATCTGTTTGTTTGGCGCTCCAAATGGGATATGCTGAATCAAAACACATTAAGGCAGTCAAGGAACCCTGGCGCCATTCGAGTAAATTTAATGCATTCAGACAAATGTTGCTGACTAACCAACATCTCGACAAACTCGCTGCATCAGGTTCTGACTTCACCGCATGTGGAATGCTCAACAACTCATATGCTTCAGACCATTTAGGTCATCTTGGTACGTCTTCTATTTGTTGTGACAGATTTTAGCTTACACACATATATATAGGCTCAAGTCAGCCCGAGGTGCCACAGAAACCATGCAGGTGGATGCCCCGAACGGCAACAACCACAATGACAGCGGTGCTGGCAATGGTAAGGGCAAGGAGGAGGGCAAGGGCAAGGAGGAGGATGAGGGAGAGGACATCCAGATCAGCCCAACTGACCAGGCAGACTCGGATCGCCATCACTTGGATGAGCCTGGTGATGGCATATTGGAAGGTCCCAGAGCACAGTGTGATGTTAAATTAGCATGTACCCCTAGTGAGTTTTCATTTATTTTATATGTTTCAATCACTCAATGTGGCACCTTCGAAGAACGATCTTGCACACACAATATACATGCATGGGCAAATGAGCTTGGCATTCTGGGTCTCCCCCATCTCATTTGGCTTTTTTTATATGATCAACTTCTTGCAGATGATACGCACACTTCTAACAATGTCCCCCTTAGCGCATGTCCAAGATTTGAGGGCCAAGTTAAAGTATTTAACTTGGCCACTGCCACCTTTTTTCACTGAGTGACCCAAGCAGTGTCAGTGGAATGCGGTGTGAGCACATTTGTGCGGTACTGTCATGGCGTCAAGGCCCTGCTCGTAACAACACTGTCTTCATCAATACTGGCAGTGAAGATGGGATCAACGGGATGGAAGTCAGTCATGTTCTGTGATTTTTTTTTCATTCTGGTACAGTGGAAAGACCTTCCCCTGCGCCCTCATCCACTGGTTCAAACTCTTTGCAAACAAGCCAAATCCAGACACCGGCATGTGGATGGTATGACCTTCTTTCCATGCAGAGTCGAGAAGTCGAGAGCTCTCCATTGTCCATGTTGACACCATCGTCTGTGCATGTCACCTTTTACCTATTTTTGATGCCCATTTTACTCCGGAGCATATTACACTTCATAATATCTTAGACTTATGGCCCAGTTTTTATGTTAAAAAATTTATAGATCATCACGCTGTAGAGACTTATGCCTCTCATGGTATGATATGGCACTTTTCACTAGGGAGTTCATTGCATGAACTTGCAGTACCACTCTGTGTGCTGTCCACAGCTATCCCTACATATATGAGGCGCAGCTTTCCTGTGCAATGTGCCCCATGCACACACACTTCCCGCGCTTCATGATGTATATGCAGGCGTGCTTTCCCGCGCTTAAGCGCCCCATAGCTCCAGCCATCCGGAAGCATCCATCCACTGTCCACCAAGCTCTCTAGTATGTATATTTCTGTTTCCCTTATTAGCATATTGTTCCACCTTATTTTTATCATGGACCCTTACTTATATTTATCATCACATACCTTACTTGGTAGTGCTTCAGCTCCACATGACAGCGCTTATGCAGCACATATAAGTGCCAGCAGTACATACTAGGACTTTACTTTACTTTCCACCTACTTTTCCACTCACCTAAATTCCACCCACTATCTACCTAGCAGAACATAGTAGAAATCTATTTGTTTACACCTCACATCTCGCATCTCTTGTCTAGTATCTCATTATCACTTAAGCAAGCTTATTCTTACTCTCATTTCTGCATACACATGCACACTCTCCCATGCTTCACGCAGCACGCGCGCGCACTCCCACACCTTCGTGCCTTGCGCACACCTGCGCTTTCTCGCACTTCACATTGGCCAACCAGTAGCGCCTTCAGCGCCTACTTCTAGATCCTCGCTGCACTTGCTTCCCCTTTAGGGTTGAACGCACTTGTCATCTCAAGTATAGCAGACTAGGCAACACATGACCTTACAACATTTATAGATACAGTCAGGAGCTTCACTTGTGCCTCGCTGTGTTGTAGTTTCTACAATGCATTTGAAATAGCATCTTGAACATTTATTTCGACCATTTTTTTGTCTTTGTATCTTAGCACCTTAACAAAAATGTGATGATATTCTACACAAGAACATTAAGTCTGTATCAAGCAAAAATATGCTGCTGCCACCAAGCACAGTACCTCATCGCATTCATGATTTTGCACCACCTCCATATTCTGCACCACCTCTCTATTCCGCACACAATCCTGCACATGCTACAAATCCTGTGCCAATGCAAGTTGATGCTAGGCCAGCTCCAAGTCAGCAGCCAGTTGGTGAGTAAACATTGTTTATCTTTATCTGATCATTAGGTTGAGGTATTTGATAATTCAGCTGCTTCCAATATCACCATGTCCATTCCATTAAATTCTGGTATTGTTGGGGGATGTGTCAGCTGAGTTCAAATTTGTCTTCCCTCAACATTTCTTTTATTGATTTTTTCTTGCATGTCTGTGCCAAGATGGACTTAGACCCAGCAGATGCTGAACTGGGGTACAGGTTTCACACCATTCATGCCTGTGATGACCCCCATCAGCTCTCTAATGAGCAGCAGCTTCATGAAGCACTAGAACATGGCAGACAGCTGATCCATCATTTTCATACTCAAGAGACCATTCTTGAATTACACAACCTGGTAAGTAATGACGAAGCTTGTAAGTAACATGCTGCTAATTTCAATCAGAAGAGACCAGTGTGTGTCAAGCTGCATCAGCCAGTCGAGGCCATTGTGAAGACATAGGAAACAGTGATCAGGATTGAACTACTCTCAGCTTTGCAGCTGAGTTCTGTGAGCTCAAGAACAAGCTGGACTGCGTAAAGCACCCTGGCACACACTGCTACATCAACCCTGCCAGTGGTGAACACAAAGCACAAGATATTTATAACCTCATGCTCTGGGCAAAACAAATTGTAAGTAAGGTCAAGCTTGAAACTTCTGTTACTGGCTTATTTTTTCAATACAGTCCTTGGGTGAGGCCACTTATGATAACCCACCCAAGACAGCTGCTTTTGATCATGTCCGAAAACAGTGCTGAGTATCTTCCACAATGGCCTCGCAAGGTTTGCCTGCAATTCATGTCCATCTCCCTCCAACAATGGCTACACAATCACTAGGCAATGTTCATGGTCAACATTGAATCAATACACCAAGGCTCTTCTCAGGCTCTTCTCCAATATTCACTGAAGATGAGGACGAGTTCATCATGTATTTGCCCATTACTGAGGCACTTCAAGACATGGATATTATCATGCCACTTTTGAATATGTCTCAGTATGAGAACATGCTAATTAGCAATGGTGTTGCATATGTAAATGGCATTATTGGCATATCTGACGATGTTTTCATCGACATTATTGGCGTGCCAGTTGGAGTAGTTCACTCTTTTATTGCTGTTGCTTATTGACTTATTTGGTGTGCAAGGAAAGGCAAAGCGAGGGAGCAGAGTGTTGAAATTTGAAGGAGCATCAACAAGTATCAATACCCATGTTTAACACTAGCTGTACAATATATGTCAAGTAACAATTGTTGTAGCTGTATAAAATAATCAAGACAAGTACCTGCTGTGTGCAAACCAACCATGAGCTTTTCAGGTGTGACAGTGTCAAATACAGCATCCCACAACAACTGGTAGGGATCACAAGTTCAGCTTGCCCATCATTTCTCCCCTGGCATAGTTATGGTGGTGTCATATCCAAGCCTTTATTGCTGAGAAGGCTTCCTCAATGAGATTGAAGTCAGGTGAATAGGGTGGTAAATACACAATGTACATGCCCCTGGAAGTGTTCAAATTGATGGCTGTTGAAAACTAGAGCAAAAGTCATAGCTTTGTTGAACTATTTCTTTGAAATGCAGTGACTTATGAATGCTTGCATTATCCATCATAATTATGGAGATTTTCTGAGGAAAAGGGTTTATATTATTGAGCAAATCAACTACGAACTCATTGAATGTTGCTAACATATATGAACAATCCAGCACATCAAGGTGCAGGATGCCATCTAATGAGAGAGCAGGTATGATTGAATACCTGGATCAAACTGCAAATAGACCAACTCCGAGTCACTCACCTTTGCCCACAGATGAAATACAGTCATCCACCAGCCACTGGTACTAGATAGTCCCACGAGTTCGCGCGTCCCTAGAGTTCACGCATTGGCTCTAGCACACGCAATTCTGCACGGAATCCTTATGTATGTTGTATATAGGTTCCTCCCAACATAGTACACATGACCATGTAATTTTTTTGGCAAGAAATGAAGTGGATCTCGTGCCATGGTCGAGTTATAGGTGTTCAAGGCTCATTTTGTGCATAGATGACTCCCTCTGAAGGTCAGATCACCACGGAAAAATCTGGGATGCGATATGATGACTATACATGATTATAGAATGCTAAAATAAATTTCTCCGGGGCTACATGCTTGTCAGAATCATCTGCTGTGAATGAAATACAACCCAGACGTGACAATCTATCCAAAGCGTTACAATGAGACTACACACATCTAAACTCTGCTGTGCCGAAATACGCTGCAGTCGACTTTCGAACGGTGCGGAATGTGAAACGGCACCGCGGCAGACGTGTGACATGGTGTGACGAAATGCGCGAACTCTAGGGAAACCCGCACTTTTTTGCGCGGTAAGTCTCCGCTGGACTCAACACGTCGATTTTAAAAGAAAAAACTAGCAGGCCTTGTACTTTTAATGTCAGGCTATCCATCCGTCAAAATTTTATATTTTTATGTGGATGTGTTGTAGAGTTATAGATGTTTTCCCAAAAATGCGCGAACTCTAGTGGACATCTAGTATGGTGAATTTGAAAATGTTGTCTTGCCTCACATTCATACCATGAGTATTTAAATTTTTGATGTGTTGTAGAAACAACAATACTGAGAGGAACAAATGATGCTCCTGACTGTATCTAAAAATATTGTAGGTCGTGCATTGCCTAGTCTGCTATGCTTGAGATGGCAAGCACGTTCGACCCTTAAGGGGAAGCAAGTGCAGCAAGGATCTAGAGATATGCATGCAAGGCACGGGAATGTGTGTGCGTGTTAGCGCGAAGCATAGGAAAGCACACGCGCGCGTGCGGAAATGATAGAGAGACTAAGCTTAAGTGATAATATGATGCAAGATAAGAGAAGAGAGGTGCAAAGTGTAGACAAATAGATTTCTACTATGTTCTTCTAGGTAGATAGTGGGTGGAAAGTAAAGTCAAATAAAAGAAAGTAAGGTCAGGTAAGGTAAAAAAAAGGTAGGGAGTAGTATGTACTGCTGGCACTTATATAGCGTGCCTAAGCGCTGTAATGCGGAGCCAAAGCGCTACTGAGTAGGTATGTAGAGATATACATAAGTAAGGGTCCATGATAAAAATAAAGTGGAACAATATACAAATGAGAGAAACAGAAATATATGCACTAGAGAACTTGGAGGACAGTGGATGCATGCATCTGGATGGCTGGCACTATAGGGCGCTCAAGCGCGGGAAAGCATGCGCGCGCATATACATCGCGAAGCGCGCAAATGGTGCGCGGGAAAGCTGCGCCTCGTATAGGGATAGCTGTGGGTAGCGCACGGAGTGATGCTACAAGTTCGTGCTATGTACTCCTTGGTGGAAACTGCCATATCATGCCATGAGAGGCATGAGTCTCTACAGCATACATTTACTCTAACATCATGCCTATCAAGTGCAGCAATTTCTAGGCCAATATATCATGTCTTTGTTGAACTATGAGCCAACTTTTGTCACCGGTCATTTTTGGGTCAAAACGGGCAAATGATACAGGTGCGCTATTACCAAATGTAGACTTAAACTTATCCTCATCTTTCTCACTATCATCACTGCTCTCGTCAATGGCATCTAAGTCAAACTCCTCGCCACTCTCCTCATCACCAACAACAACAACCTTTGGCTTTGGCAAGGGCTTTAGCAGTTCTCCAAGCTTTGGTGCAGGTATGGTAAACTTTCTTTTGTTGATTCTTGCTTGTTGCTTTTCTTCCTCCCACACAGCCTTTGCAGCACGAAACTGTTCTCACCTCGCCGCATTCTCAGCTTTCTGATCTGCCTCTTTTGCTTTCCACTCATCCATCATGCCCTTTCCTCGAGTGCGTGCATCTTTTCTTGCAATTTTGTCTGCCTCTTTCTGTTTCTGCCATCTTGTAAACCCAACCACCCTTTCATAGAACTCATCACCTGATAGTAGTCGCAGGAGACCATCATTGACAAGTTTCCCAGGTGCGTCAGGGTTTGTGACCTTTTCCTCTTGAAAGGCGAGCTGATAATGAAGCTTGTTACAGTAAGCTTCATTCAAGATGGCCTGTGCCTGCAAGGTGATGACACGATTTCGGTAAAACTTGCAGAGCTCTTCTACCCCTTGAAGTGCTGCAAGAAGGAGTATTTTATTTTTAGTTTTAGGTTCAATTTTTGAAATGTTGGTTGTGGTGCCTGCCATTGACTGAATGTTCCCAACAGCAGCAGATGGCATTTGTACTGAAGATGAGAGTGGCTTGTCGGAGACAAGGTTAGCTATTTGTGTCTGTAATAGCTTTGCAATGAGCTCATTGATACATGTTTGCAGTGATTTATGTGTGTTATTATTGTTGGTAGGTGTCGGTGTGGGAGTTACAGAGGTGGTACTGTTGAATGCTTCTGGTGCTTCTTCAATGGTAATAAGACGGAGATCCTCGTTCAATGAGAGGTCTTGCAAAAGTGTAGCGACTAATTTGATAGGTGTTGGTGGTGTTGTTTGGAGACTACCCTGACATGAAGTCTCTTTACTTGTAGCCAGCATATCCTCTGTAACAACATTGGGATTAAATAGCCATACTCCTGTTTTGCGAAAAGCTGCAAGGATGTTCTCTTGTGTGAGTGCCTTGATATGTGCAGTACCATACACAGCAAGGAAATTTGTCTTGCTGATAGGTTGTCCTGTCTTCTTCTCCCACTCATCATGCGCCTCACTCTAGTGCCGTTTAAGGACTGAGAAGATGACAACATTGAGGCCCTGGTAGATATGTGTTGTGTGCGATGGATAGCACAGCACAAGAATTTGGTGAGTTTGTACATACTCCAAAAAGCTGTGAGTATAATGGGAGTTATGTCCATCGACAAGCAGCAACCAATATTCTCCATTTGCTTTCTTCAATGTTTCCTTGTCAAACTGCTCAATCCATGCAACATTGATTTCTCCGTCAGTCCATCCTTTTTTCGAATATCTCAGACTATATTGATTGGTTAGTTTTCCTAGCCACAAAATTAGACATGGCTTATGATGCATTAGCTGGGTTATTCTGCTTCCATTTGATGTGATAGCCACTCCCTTTTAAAATCACAGAAGGTGGAATCGAAGTACCATCTGCACAGATTGTGATGATAATAGTAATATTCTCTCAAGATCCTCCTCGCTGCTGATACTGAGGTCCTTCCCTATGAGCTCCAAGGACATGTTCTCGCTCACCACCAGATGGTTGGCAGCCAGCTTCATCAACTCTGTAAGTATTGTGCTGTTTGATGTTATATTTGGTCAATGTCTCCTGAAGAATAGTCCACCAGGCTTTGTTAGTGGTAGGGTTGACAGCACGTCTGCATTTTGACTTGAGTGGACGTGCACATGATACTTTGATGTGGTTGGAGTGTTTTTCAATAAAGCGATGCGTCCAGTTGATCCCAACCCCCTTCTCTGGGAAGGATGAACCCAACCAAGCATGTCTCTTGATAGGCTTATTACTGCATGTCTTTACACATAAGGCCATCACTCAGATTATATTGAAGCTATGATTAGGGAAGGTCAGATATGTAATGACATGGTTGAGGTAGTATCTTCCATACTAGTCTAAATGCTCACAATTATTAAGTAGCATATTCCAATTTGTTTTCATCTAGTGCTGAAGATAATTAAGATGCTTGTATATAAGGTGTTTCTGTTACTGCTGCCCTTAGGGTAAATTATTCTCTAACATCCAAAAAGATTCAGAGGAACTTGATGGCCTGAAAAATCTTCATGACTGAGTGATTATTAATACATCTGAGTTATCATAAGCCTAATCACAAACTAAGCTAAAGAAGCTGCTATTTAATTTTTTTTCGATTAATTGAAGTTCTTATATTTCACCTTTTGTTCTGATTTACCTTTTACTTTGGACTTTCAGCTTTCTATAAAGGCAATGTCCAATCCTATATTTTATATTAATTATATATGAGAGATGCTTCTTTACATGTCTATGTCTTCTTTGCTATATAGGTTGGTTTTGCTATATTCCAATGGTTCTTTTATAAAGAATAAAATTACTGAGGACAACTTTTAATTATTTTTTGAAGATTCTAGTGCTAATAATGATAGTAATGATGAGTATAATGATAAAGATCAGAGGACTTAGGATGGATCCAAATATAGGAATAATATAATATAAATCTAACTGCACTAGGCCTCTAGTTAAAGGATATATCATTTTATTCATATCTCTTTCCTTCATCTGTATTTATGAATTTGTATTCTGCTTCAAGTCATTTCATATATCTGTCCACCCCTTAACCAGTTTATTCTTAGCCTTTAAAAAGTTCCTAGTCTATTTTAGAGGACCTCAATATGGTTTTCATGCTATATAGGTTTTTATATTTAACTCACAATACCCTTATTCCTCTAGATTTTTTGAAGGTTAATAATAAAACACCTAGAACGTCATTTATATTCAAATTTTTACCACTTCTTCATCTGTTAAGGCTCTCCAAGTAACATTAGAAAGCAAACACTCCAATAAGATATCAAAAGATGAAATCTGATCTTTGTGATAGACTGTGCTCATCTACAATATTCTTATAAGTTCTTCAGGCAAGACCCTTAAGACCATTCTGTCTCTGAGCTTAAGGATATTTTATCTTATGTAATTAGTGATGTAACAATGCCAAAGGGTTTGTAGGCAAAACCTATCCAAGTGGAGATCTTCTTTTATGAAAAAGCACCAATATTTCAGAAAGTCACTAATAATATGATCAGTAGCCAGTGACATATTTGATAATATGTCTTCTAAATTATGTTTGAATCTTTGATTAAATTTAAATATAGCACTAGCACAGTTTGCATAGAGAGAACTTTTAGTTGAAACCAAGGCCAGCCTAGTAGTATATTCAATATCTGAATGTAGATCTTTATAAGCTATACTAAATCTAGATTTGATCATTATTTATATATGTACAGTGGCTCAAAAAAGTGTCCCAATGTTTGTAGGTTTTCATGTAATTGTGTTATTGCGAGCCAGGGTGTGAGAATCTGACTAAGTCAAAGGGAGGTCCCAAAAAGCTCCGCTTCTCGGCTACAAGTATGTCCCCTATAGCGTGAGAATCCATTGACGCCGTGCGAAGATATGGCTATTTTAATTAGGTGACTCATTGGGACACTTTTTTGAGTTTCTATTAAAATATGAAAATCAGATCATTTAGACATGACATCATTTACAAATATATATATAAATGGTCCCATATTGACAATATGGTCTCATTTTAATATCCTGTACATATATAAACCCTTCCAATAACATCATGTCCCTCATAATCAGCATGAAGTCTATTTCCTCTTCTCAAAGAGATAATATCCTTTTTCTCTCCACCTCTGGTCTATCTATCAGGCAGATTGCCCCCAAAACTGGTCTGGGGAAGTCAACTATTGCCAGGGTTATCAACCAGAATATTCCCAACAAAGAAAATGTCAAAATGGGTCATCCTTCTAAACTTACTCTGCATGACAAAAGAGCTCTTGTTCATCATATTATATCTGGAAAGGCCTCTACTGCTGTTCAAGCCACAAAATACATCAATTCCATCATCACTACCACTGTCTCCACTCAAACAGTCAGGAACACCCTCAAGGAAGCCAATCTTAAAGCTGTAGTCAAGAAGAAGAAACCCCTACTGTCACCAGCCCATAGGAAAAGGAGACTAGCATTTGCTTTAAAGCACTAGCACTGGACTATAGAGGACTGGAGGAGAGTTATTTGGTCAGATGAAACTAAAATCAATAGGATGGGGTCAGATGGTCAAGAGTATGTTTGGAAAAAGGCAGGAGATCCACTTGGAGAAAAAGAAGTGAAAGGTACTCTTAAGTTTGGAGGAGGAAATATGATGGTGTGGGGCTGCATGGGGTGGCATGGGGTGGGAATTCTATGTGAGGTGGAGGGGAGGATGAATGCAGAGCAGTATGTCTCCATTCTGGAGGAGTGTCTGCTCAAAAGCATGCAAGAATCAGGTATTGATGAAGAAGACATTATCTTCCAACAAGATAATGACCCCAAGCATACCTCAAAGTTGGCCACCAAATGGTTTGAGGACCATGATATTACTGTCCTATCATGGCCAGCACAGTCTCCAGATCTCAATCCCATTGAACATCTTTGGGAATTACTCAAGAGAATGCTTGCTGCCTATCAAGACCCACCTAATGGACTATTTCAGTTATGGGAGAGAGTTGTAGTAGAGTGGGGAAAGATTGCTAAGGAGGAGTGTCAGAAATTGATAGAAAGTATGCCTAGGAGGGTAGCAGCAGTCATTAAAGCTAAGGGAGGAAACACTAAGTACTAGAATTATAGAGATTATGTATAATTGATTCAAACTCAAAAAAGTGTCCCAATGAGTCACCTAATTAAAATAGCCATATCTTCGCACGGCGTCAATGGATTCTCACGCTATAGGGGACATACTTGTAGCCGAGAAGCGGAGCTTTTTGGGACCTCCCTTTGACTTAGTCAGATTCTCACACCCTGGCTCGCAATAACACAATTACATGAAAACCTACAAACATTGGGACACTTTTTTGAGCCACTGTATATAGTCTGCTTCCTCTCTTTTCATAATTCTTAACATCACTACATTCAGAATATGGCTACTGGAGCTGCACAGTCTGATTATACAATCATTCACTAAGATATATGTAAGGCTATTATATCTATATTGTAAATTAAAGACAAAATTAGAGAAAAGAGATTGCAGCTGACTTATTTCATTGTACCTATAGATGATTTTGGAGTACTCATTAACTATTTGAGTTTAAGGTCTGATCATTGTGTTTCAAATATCTTAGAACTACTCTTTTATAATGTTATTAGCTACATATATTATAATTTATTATAGTAAGTAAGTATGTTGCTCATATACTATAGTTTCCTATTCAATTGAGGTTTAACTTAGTGTTTTTCTCATGAAGAAAGATTTCCATGTGTATAGCTTTTGTTAATAGACCTTCAGATATTGTTACTCCCAGGAATCAAATCTAAGATGTTCAATGAAATCCTAAACCAACAAGTAGCAAAGCAGGCAATATATGTATTTGCTATTTATTAGGACCTTAAGTTACTTGACATAGTGCAGCTTGTGGACTGAACTAGGCCAATTATGATGCTGAATGGCCACATTCTAATAAGATGAAGTACTAAGAGAAGATAATAAATAACCCTGACTATGATTTAGAATTACAAAATTCTTTAATTATGACATTAAGTCAGATTCCTCTATCATCACTAAGATCCCTAATGTCTCACAATTTTTTTTGGAAGTACTTATTAGTAAGCAAGAACTTTAGTTGATCTAAGATACATACTCACTTAAATGAGTATATATATCGACTTTAAAGAAGTTATTCAATTTTTATCTTATTTTGTGGAAACATTTTATATATTGAATGAAAACACTTAGAGTTAGTATCTTATAGTAGCAGATGAGGGAATTCATTGAATGTAATTTCAATCTAGTAATTCTAGCTAACATCTAACAGCTGTCTTTAAAACTAGTCAGATCCTTTAAAGCTCCCACTATTTCAGTCTCTACTGCTTTTATTCCTGTTCTGGCAAGTCAGAGCTTATTTGCATCTATGTTTTGGTATACCATTACAGTAGGACACAAAACTGGTGTCTTTAAAGGCCAGTAAGTACCTTACATTTAAACTTCTACAAAAAGTTCAATATCACTTTTAGGCATAATATCTATTTACACATCATCAGTGTTATAGATGCTTGCTTCAAATAACACTCCTCTCATGCTGCCACTAAGGCTGCATATCTTAAGGCTATTGATGATAGTGTAGTTGTGTAGGTACCACCCTAAGATCATGCTATCTCATGCTGTATATATAACATAATGTACTGTTACTTGTATTCATTTTGCTTTTTCTTGAATGTCATTTTGTTGTAGCTCTATAATATCTCTTGTTCTCCAGCTACATTTGTGTGATTTGATTCTCAATATTACATGTCTCTCAATATAAAAAAATAACCCAAAGATTAACAAGTAAATTTGTGTCATTTAATTTTCAATATTACAAGTGTTCTGAAGCTGTGCCAGTGCCAGTGTGAAATGTAGTGTTAAACCTAAAGCACTTTGTTGCAAGGTTTGCTCACATGTCTATGTACCACTTTACTACCAGTTGACTGTGTAATTTTTTACATCACTTTATAATTCAATAAGCTGATGTTGTAAGCCCTCACCAGAATGTGAAACTGCATGAAAATATTCTAAATGCAACCACTACATCTTCTAAGTGCTCTATGATTCATATTTAATTTGTGATATATTTTTAAGTATGATTATTGCCATCCTCTAAGATATAAAATAGAGTTTATGAAGGAGCTTGTAGAGACACAGGACTTTCTGAAAGAAGCTAATGTGCTGGTGAGTTCCATTGACAATATTGATGATGGTCCTTGCACTGTACAGCTCATAACAGAATGCTCATGTTTACTTTGTCATGCCCATCTCTAGCTAGCATCAGAAGAGCAAATACTTGATCTCATGGATTAAGAACAGGATGTCCTCAATGATGTATTGCTTAATGATAAGTTAATATGGCAGGCAGCTTGATTATGTAGTTACTATGTCACTGCAGCAGTATATATCATTATGTGTTTCTTTTTTTCATCAACACTATGGTCAAAGGCCATTAAGGACAAAAGCTCTAAAGATTAGAGAAACAATTCAATGAGCAAAATGGCACTCAACATGCTACTCAAGACTAGGCTACAAAATGCCAGCATAATATTGACAGCACTCAAGATATTCATGTACACATTTCTGTGGATGTCACTAACATGAATGTAGCACTCAGGCTCATGCCAAGCTCATATCTAGCTAATTTATTATGCACATCAAATGCCCATTGCATACAAATCACTTCCAAATGTTACCCAATACCTATCCACTCAACCTGACACTTTGACTAGTAGACCTGACATTTTGGCCACATTGGCTGATCTAATATCTTGCATGCTTGTCCTTCCTGTGTCCTGTCCTGTCTTGCTAGCCCCACTAGTACCTCATGTTGTTTTATATGTACTTTGGATCTGAAATATTCTATTACTACTTTTGCCTATAAGTTTCCATATTTCTATGTACTTACATATATATTGGACTGACTTCCAGTATCATCATCACTCAAGTAGTAGGGAGCCATTTCCTGATGCTTAGGGGTCAAATCTGATATTTTGTAGTTCTTAGTTGACATTGCAAATACTACTACTCTTTCTATCAGAAATACCCATCATCATCATTAATCTGCATACTGCTCACTTTTCCAATGTTCACCATACCTGTTTCTTACAACCCACAACCTGCTAATCTGCTAACCCGAAAAACACCAGATTTGTGATTATACCTTTGGATATTGTTTCCTATGCTTGGATTATTAACTACATATCATATCACTAACATTAAGACTACTTCCAAACAGCAAACCCCTCAGGTTAAATAGTTTCTATAGCCACTCATATCTGCTTCTGACTGATTTAGGACTCCACTTGCCACTGAATTTCTGTTCAGATACCTTCGTATATTGTTCATGCACTCCCAGTCCAATGTCTTGAATACAAATGCAGTCCATGGGATGTGCTTTGTGACCCATTGTGGGTACAACAATCCAAATGGTGTATACTGAACTATATGTTGGGTCTTGCAGAATATAGCTGCTATTCGATCCTAAAGGGTTTCTGGACTAGGCTTAAGGCTCAGAGAAGAGAAAATATGATAGAAAACTGCTGAGCACTCTGGCTCATACTAAAAACTATTGAAAGGGTGATTTGATTATGCAGGCTAAGGTGCAAAAATAACTATAGATAAAACAGTCTCTACAAGCCTAGCCAGGAATCATTCCCTACACTGTCCATGGCATTAAATGAATGTGATCAGCCCAAAAAGTTCGTCAGCAGAGGAGATGAAGAGATTGATAGCCTATCATAGGTAATAGGTACATCTAAGCATTACATGAGCCATTCCCTAGCATATATTACTATACAGGAAGATTCTGAGCAGTATTGCAATCCCACACTTGACTTGCAAGATCTCAAAATATTCAATGTGTTGACCTGAGAACTAAATCTGTAAAATATGTTAGATGATAGAACTTATGGGCAGCAGTGAAAATGTACCTTAATAGCAAGTGTATGCACCACAGCTACAATATCAAGCAAGTCTCCAAGAACATGGTTATTAGGGAGCAATGGGTCAATCTCCCATATTGTGGTTGTGGTCTCAATATTGGTGATATATGTGATAACCGACATAATGTCAGTGATGGCAAGGTTGACCATGTGGGCAAGACAGGGAAGATATTGTTGAGTGGTATTGAAGTTGTATATATGGCGACAGTGAAATAGCATCTCAATGATGTCACAAGTGATGTTGTTGTTGCTAGTATTATCAGCAGTAATACAGAAAAGCTATTGCAGAACTCAGCACACAAAAATTGAGATGTGGATGGTAGAGTACATACCTTGCTTGATTGCTCATTGATAATTCCTGCACGCTCAAACAATCTGAAAAGATTGTGTGCAAGATTGTGCCTACTGTGCACTCTAAATATACCTCTAAAAGCAATGACCTGTGAAATAAGTGTACATATACCAGAGGCATTAGCCTCAATCCAGTGAGCCATTAAGCCTAAAAATGTGGCCTTTGTCTGATCAACAGACCACAAGTCTGTAGTCGTTGAAACAAGGCCAGTTGTTGTAGCCTGTAAACATTTTGTAAGATATTTCAGAGGAATATGGAGCAGTACTAGTACTCACCTGCATTCAGACCTTGAGACCCTTGATGAATTCAATGAATGCATTGTGGATGTAAGCCAACACATCATGAGTTGAAGGTATGTCCGCCAGTATAGCATTTGGCTGCATTACCACCAAACAATTTCTAAATGCGGGTTTGTCTGCTATTATAAGGCTCTACACAACAACACTGTTTCAGCACTTTCCCAATCTCATGGATTATCAATATCATTACTCACCTGATCGTCACAGACCACAAATTCAGCAACTGTGCGCAGCACATCCTCCCTTGAATCCTCTTTGTTTTGCAACTTCTGGAACATCTGGTTTAGAATTTGTTGGACATTCTTCCCTTGTTTCTTCCTATTCGCTATATCATGCGGTATTGCATGGTGATTTTCCTTCAGGCCCAGTTCTTTGCATTTGTTCTTATATACTTCATAATGACTTTGGATGTATTGCTGACACAAAGAATTACTTCTGATATGGAATGCCTTGCTTTTTCCATGCTTTGTGACAAAATCTGCATTATCTCTACAGATGCAATGTAAATACTCGTCAATATTAGTATTCAATCTGATATACTGACTTGTATGTGTTGCACCAGCACCCCTTTGATGTTTCTACATTTCCATTAGTCTGGCAAAACTTCACCGTACAATGATCTGAGAACACAGTAAGTAAATCAGCTGTGCTTTGTTTGTTTGTTTTTAGCACATTAGGTAGGGTAGTGTGGTGCTGTTCCTGCAAGCCATTACTGTCCTATTTAGTGATGTTGAGCTGACATTTAACACACAGATGACAATGATACAAGTCACAATTACCTCTTCAATGTCAGCATCCTCAATAAAAAACTCTATTTCTATTTCTTCTTTGTTGGCCTCGCTCTCATGGACAACCTCATCAATAGTGTCTCAATGCACATGCTTAGATTTTGGAGAACCTAGAGGTTTCTTTTTCAAAGTACATTTTGGTTCAGCCTTACTCTCACTGGTTTCTGATTCACTGTTGCTCAATACAGCTTTCTATTTGTGATTCTTCCTTTTTGGTGATACTTGCTTCATCTTTGGAGGCCATGAGTGCTTGGCTTTGGCAGATGCCATTGCAATAACCTTTTCCGTGGGTCATCACATGTGGGTTGACTTCATGGTTAGATTGAAGAGAAGATTGAGGCAGTAGGGAGATGCAAAGTATTGATTAGTTGGTAGTGTCTTACAGAATCATTCAAATATATCAATGTGTGGAACCCATTCCTCTAGTATGATGAAGTCTAGCCAGTTACAACCAGTCTTGGACTGGTTTTTGAAAGACCGGTTGCAGCCTACTGTAGTATGGTCCAGCAACTGAAAGCAGCTAGTTTTTCAGCATTCAGTCCAGTCTTATGGAACTATAGTTAAAATCAGGACCGGTCCAGGTCGGGTTGTGCCAAAAAAACTGGACTGGACTGGACTTTAAAATACTTTGTGGGACTACTTCTCCAGTAGCTCAAGCCGCTGATTGCTGCTGAACACCTGTCTGATCATGGAAGGTCTTCATTGTGTTAGCACCTGAGTAGGCCTTGGAAGATGTTTGATGAGCTCTCTGCAGATACTGATACTGATGCTGGAACTGCTGCTGGTGGCCCAAGTCTTGTGGTATCCAAGTACCTAAGCTATGGAAGTGAGTCTTGAGTCTTGCTGTACTTATGATGAAAAAGGCTATACTATAGATTAGACCAGAAACCATGTTGTGCATGAGGATCTGGCCTCTAGACTTGTGCTTGTCTGTCATATGCAGCAGCAGTCATGTGCTGGTGGTCATGAGTGATACTTATGTATGACATGTTGTACTCTTGTGGAATATGACTTGGAAAATTATTGTAAGTCCCCTGCTGAGTACCATTAATGTCTTGTAAAACATTATAGATACCATGTGATGAATCAATATTGTATAGTAAGTTCTGTGCCAGATAGCTCATCATTGGTCAGCAGACTACAACAAAGTGTCTATGAAGACATGCAAAACTTGAAACTTGAAACATTGAAGTCCATTAGTGTCTGTTATTAGTCATCCCGGATGCATACTAGGTTCTAACCCTTTCTGGGAACCGAAATTACAATTGCATAATGGTACAAATAAAGAGCTAACAACTCTTGACCATGACAACTTAAGAATTGAGCACACCTTATAATAAGTATAAGAGAAATTACAGAAGTTGTTGATTACAGTGTATTCCTTACATTTACTATTCATGGAGTCATCAATAGGACACAAATGACAATTTTAAAATGGATATGATGTTGCAAAGGACTTACACTACAACTTATATGTCTTACTTTTGCTCTATCTGTGGTTATGTATAGATTTAGAATAGAGTATTAAAGATATTATTTTTGACTACCCATCCTGTAAGTACTTTGTACAATATTTATACTATCAATCGGTTATGTCTATGTGTCCAATCTAAAAACATTTGTTTCGGACTTGTCTTTCCTCCACGCTGCGATTACTATCAACACCGCTCCAGCTATTCCCAGGTAAGTTGGTGTTCCCTACATTACTCATTCCTGTATGTATTACTAAGCTTCTGTTCCTGTGCTCATACCTCCACCATATGCTCCTAAGTCCAACACTCCCCCTCGAGCACAGCCTATCCTCATCTTCTCTCTCAGCTCCTTGAACCTTGGTTCTGGCAGCACTTTCATAAAGGCGTCCACAACATTTTCGGCCATTGGACAATATTGGAGTCAAAGAATGTTGTTTTGGACGAGGCCATGGATGAAGTGATAGTGAAGATCTATATGCTTGGTGTGTCCATGGAATTTCTTACTTAATGCCAATGCTATAACTGCTTGAGTGTCACAGTATACCTTCACAGTTGTCTTCATTGGCCCGTACAACTCTTTTGTCAAGGCTTTCACTGCAGGCATTTTCCCATGTTCCTCCACCAAACATTCAAAAAACATTGATTGAGAAGATAGAAATTTCCCCTCATTTTTCCTGTCAAAATATTGAAAAAAAGTAATTTATGTTTCAATGATGCTCTGTGTGTGGGCCATGATGCAGAAATTGGTCATGTTCCTTCAAGGATAATGCTGTATTTTCCATCCATTGTCCTTGAAATAATAGCTTAAAATAATGTTAATTTTCTTCTCTGTGTTTTTCAAATATATGCAGAACATTTGAAAAACATAGTATATTTGAAGAACATAGATAAGAAAGTTAACATTATTTGAAGCTGTTATTTCAAAGACAATAGATGGAAAATACAATATTATCCTTGAAGGAACATGACCAATTTTTGCATCATGTCCCACACACAGAACATCATTGAAACATGAATTACTTTTTTTAAATGTTTTGACAGGAAAAATGAGGGGAAATTTCTATCTTCTCAATCAATGTTTTTTGAATGTTTGGTGGAGGAACATGGGCAAATGCCTGCAGTGTTTCAGGTAAAGTACTTCCTGTGCTGCTGATGCTAACACTTCATATTTTGCTTCAGCGGTCGATAGTGCAATGATACTCTGCTTCCAAGTGCACCATGCAATTGGATGACATGTTCCAATATCAAATGCCTATGTGGCTGGCTTGCTGCATGTGTTAGCAATCCAATTGCTTGTTGATATGGTATGTGTTGTTCGGATATTTCAGATTTGGTGTCTGGTGAATGATCTGTTGACTCTTTCTTCAGAACTATCCCTATTCCTATGGGTGTCTGTGATATTGTCGCATCCTCGAGACAGAACCTTTCTACTAGTGCATTGATTTCATAGTTCAATTCTTCCTGCCATTCCGCAGTGTCTGGGCCACTGAAGGCCTCATCCAGTGCTGGTTTTCGATGCACAGTGTAACACTCGGGCTGGCGCTGGACATGTATTCTGTCAAAATCACATCTTACATTCCTTGACATTCTTCCAATCTTCTGAAAGTTCCATGCACTTGTCCGAGTCGTCCAAAGGTCATCTGTCCAATTCTGAGGCTCTTTTAGCTTTTCCGGTTCTCTGTATCATGTCCTGTCCTTGTCTGTTTGACTTCGCTGGTGTGTTTTTCACTTAGTTATTCTGTTATTGATTATGTCTAGGGGCACATACATTGAAAACCCTTGCTAATACGTATAAATATGCACCTCATGTGTTATTACCTATATATCTTCATAGCGGCTCACCTTGAGTCTTATTACATTTTGGATGTCTTATCTCGCTACAGTTTTCACCTACGCATATTCCAGACTTTCATGCAGTAGGATATAATTTGGTTCACTAATACTTGCAACTTACTTCACTTTCCTTGCTACAAGTCATAGTTAGTAGAGTCACTTTCGGACCTTAGTATTCCGCACAATCAATCTTTGTTCATTCGGAATGATTGTTTGGCTTAACCACTGCCATTTTTCTTATCTGATTTCCTTAAGTCTTTTGACGAACTTTGCTAGATAATCTATGCAAGTTCTATACTTCGAAAAATTGCTGTATTCTACACCAGAAACCTTGCTGTTTCATCAGAAGCTTTGCGCAACCTCAGACCTTCATTTCTTGACGTCGGACCTTGGCCGGACCCATTGGACAACTTATCAGACACTTCAGACAAGTTATTGGAACTCTGAATGCACTTGAGGTATCCTTTCCTTCTCTTACCTTCAATCTTAACAAGATATCCCTTGCATTTATATCAAGAGATAATCCTACAGGCAGTCTCTTTGGGACAAACATCTTACTTGTACTTTTGAGTCTCAAGGTAACACCTTTTGTATAACATACCAGGAATCAACTCTTTACAGTGGCTGATGCCAATGGCCTATGAATGCCTGGTATGTCTTCCTTTTCTATTGCTGCATCGTCTGTGTCACTCAACACCTCTTCCAGTGTCGGCTCTCAATGCATAGATGTCATCATATGAATGTTAGTTCTGGTTTCACCTGGTGCATGTATTGCTCCTTCATCTTGGCTGCTCAAGGCCTCATCTAGTGTTGGCTCTTGATATGCAGCTGCTAATGCATTGGGCATCATTTGGATTGGTAGGGAATGCATGCTCTGGGGAGTTTGTGCGACAGGCTGGACAATATTTGGTGCATTGATTTGTGTTATCTGCCTAGACTCCCTCTCATCCAGTACATTGTCATGAACATTGATGTCTGGCGGGACAAAACTAATGTTTCATTTGACAGAAACTTGTTTTTCTTCCAGTCAATATGCTTGATATCCCCTCCTTTCTTCATCTGTACCAGCAAACAATGCCTCCTCTGCTCATACTTCGAGCTTCCTGTTATCTGGTGAGTGGACATAAGCTTGTCTTCCACATTTGCGAGCTACTGCTGACTTGATTTGATATAGTCTGTTGATCTGCAGAATTTCAGCTATGGTCTTTCGCTCTGGGGCTGGGGACAAGATCTTGCACATCTTGTCCTCAAAATGCACTGTGAATCTTGCCGCTGCAATTCTATTGGCCAATATCAATGTGAAGGCCATCTTTGGAGTGTATAGGGTGTCCTTGAGGGTGACTGTTGTCTTCTTCATCCCAAGGGGTAGGTCTATACTTATAT